TGAGTGTCTAGATCCAAAAGTGTAATTAAAAACATGAGATAGACAAAGAGAGAAAGACAGTACTGTGTTGTGTTGTAATGCATCAGCCAAAAGTTGCGCTCCAACATCCCCGATTACATTGCTCTCGAGAACTAGTGTGGTAAGTGTCTAAATGAAGAAGTGTAAGTAAAGACATGAGATAGATAAAGAGAGAAAGACAGTTACTGTATTGTGTTGCAATGCATCACCCAAATGTTGTGCTCCAACATCTCCGATTTGGTTGCCACGGAGATCTAATGTGGTGAGTGTCTAAATGAAAAAGTGTTAGTAAAGACATGGGATAGATCAAGGAACAGAATAGTTGTCCATTGTTATGTCGGATTAGGTCAATGAAATAAATCTTCGTAGGACTCTATTGAAGAGCACGTGGATATGAGTCTTAATACTTCTTTGAGTTTAGATTCTGCGCAATGCGCAAGATTGTTGGGTAAAAAGCTGAGTTAAAAAGAAGTTAAAAAGAGTTACGTATGCGTAGAATGTTTTTATCTATCAATTGCTTTAGTTTTTAAATGTTTTTGTGAAGGATGGAAAAGTTCTGGGTTATAAATAATAGTGTATAAATTGCTGCTGTGTAAAGCAATTGGAAGTGTTGCATCGCTTGTTAGTATTGTGTAGGTGTTGGAAAAAAATAGTTTCATATCAATAATTTGTGGATGAGTTTCGGTCATGTTCATCGACGAGACTGGAGATGCGTTTTACATGAAAACCTCGTTTGAGTTATCTTATTCGGTCAAATTAATGGGTATTGTTAGTTTTGGTAAGACTATTTATTGATTTCGGTAGGTGCTTTCGATGACACCACACGGTTTCGTGTATAAAACAATATTCACTGATAAAAATGGAAGAGTTAAAGAATTAATTGGATAATGTCGGATTTATAATGAGTGAAAGGCGAATACATGCTAAAACGTCGAATTATAAATATCTGTTAAGAAGTATACACGATGTTTTGTTTTGGTATTGAATTACTCTTGAAACTTCATTCTTGAGAAAAAATTCCTTTAGGTAAAATGCGTTTTGGGACAAGGTTTTTGGAAAAAAATTGCTTTGAAAGTAGCGTTTCTTGACGAAATGTTCCATTTTTCTGGTATGAGAGTGTGAATGTTGTTGTGAGTCAATCTGCTCTCCATCCCTACTCGCCGTTACGTATAGTCAGAGTCACTCATGTTCTCAGGGAAACATTTGTCGGAATTATTTCTTAAGTGAATTTCTGAGGGATTACTTACAACAAGATAAATTAGCTAGTTCATAGATCGTTAATTTTTTTCAAAATGTTATGTTTATTATTGAAATAATAATAAAAAATTGTGTTTAGACGAGACTGAAACGAAAAAAAAAGAAATTATTTTTTTCTAATTATTAGGACATTATTTTCGAAAGAGATTAATAAGTGATAAACTAGTTTACGTAACAAATAGCTTGTTCACGTACATTTTATTGAAATAATTCTACTTGTATAGAGATTGTAGGGATGAAAAATATTTTATGAGTCAATAGAAAAAAGTTTACCTGATATCGATGATAGCTGTTTAAGATCATATTAAACCGTTGGCATACATTGGTCATTGAGCATAGCATTGCTAGATTCGATACATGATCCAGTATTCGGTAGACAATTTCTACCGGTAATGTATAGAAGTTCGCAGCAGTTTGATTTACCATTGTAGACTGCTGATAAAATGCGTGTTATGTAACGTTATATGTTGGTGATATGATGTGTATGTATTTTTTCTTCCTACCTGAATAAATATATATTCGTCATGCGTCATATATTTCACATGATGTTGCAATTACTTGTTGAAAGGAAAAACGCTCGAAAAAAGGATGTCAACTACAAAATAACAGAATATAGATACCAACCGTACGCCACGTTTTTGTTAAGGTTGTTTTATTGATATCAAATGGTGTATAATGGACATGAATATTGTGTTTCCGTTATAATTATAACTGATAAAGGTGTAATAGAGATTCTTTTTCAAAAAATACCTAAGATCACATTGTAATTGTTCATAAAAATAACTTTGGATTGTATAGTGTTCTTTGTTTGAAAAAATGGCATGATTTCAAGAAAACGACTTTCAAGTCTTCAAAAATTCTCAACATACACAATTAGTGTAGAATTAAGCCATATTTATATCATCGAAATCGGCAGTTCCAACTATCATATGTTGAAAAAACAATGGTGATTCATTTTCTTTTTTTTAGAGCACATTTCTAGACATGTATTTTTACTATATGAACTGACTTATTCATTCAATATATACTTTGTAGAACATCTTTTATTGTATCGTTTGTTGATATAGATAAACTTTCGAACATACATGTAACTACAAAAAAATTCCAAATATTTTTCTAATACAACTTTCACTTGGTATATTAGTGCTAAATTCGATTTGCAACTTTTGTCTAACTACTACAGGCGACTCAAATTTGGTCATCAATAAAACTATTTTAATTCTGATGTTTATAAGCATAGACATTTATTAGAAAATATACTAGCATACCATTTAAAAAGACATGGTCAGATCGTTTGCATTTACTTTTCGTTTTAACTTTTGGAATACCTTCCAGAATGATATTAAGCAGATTTCCTCCTTGAATAACCATGTCTGTATTGAATAAATAGACAATTGAAATGAGATAAAAATTCATTTTTGAAACAATACTATTTAAGATGTTTTCATCATATACCAAAATTATTTCTTCTTCAATTTTAACTGGATCTCTGTACCCCTGTATAAATTATATATTATGAGAAATTCAAGAAAGCAAATTAAATAGTATGTTTACCAGGGACATTCGATGATCCTCCACTCGATTCTGGAAATGATTGTTCACGGTCATAATCCGATAGTGCCTTTGTCAGGTAATCATCTATTTCATTGATAATCCTTGCTTCTTCTGCTTGTGTACTAGCCTTATCGTGCGTAGTATCATGAGGTTGACTCATGATTTAAAATTAAATGTCTACTAAATATTAGAATATATCAGACAAACATACTCCTTGTAGTGAAATACAATGACTGGAAATTTCCTGATTGTTTCGTTTTTTAACATATTTTAAGCGATTGAGTGAGTAATGAAATTCCATCATGTAAAAGGAAATTTCACAACGTTATTATATATCATAATTTTTTACTGTTCTGTTAAGTGTAAACAAAAGAGAATTTATAGACATAGTTTAAATTACAAACAACATTTCGGTGGAAATAGTCATAAATATAAATGTCGTTAATGTTTATTTCAACAAAATGAAAGAATTCATTTATAGTATAAATATAGTATACATAACTTAGAAAATTAAAAACAATAGACAGTTGTACATGCATTTTTATCATATAATACAAAAATAAACAAATAAATTTCTTTCTGCTTTTTTAATAATTCTTTAATGTATTAGATAAAAATATAACTATCGAATAGACATTTCATAACACAAATTTTAAACTCATGTCATCAAGCGACATCTCTCATATAACGAGCTATGAATGGTAGCATATACATGTTTTCCTTTTTTCGCTCTTACTTCACTTGTGTACCTTATACTCAAAATTTTGTGCACTAATAACACTTTACTGTCGCAACTCAATAACGTCTTTAAAATCTTCTTATTTATTTAGATGTTTCGCGCACTTGCTAATTCGACAACACCAGTTGGTGGCGCTTGTCGATTACTTTTTGTACAAGTATGTATACTTTCAGTTCTTTTGATAGATTTTCTTATAAAAATTCTATAATAAATTTCTATTTTAGGTTCGTAACACAACAGCAGCAGCAGCAGCTAAAACTAATGCACCTGATACAAAAAAACCTGATATGGTACATTTGAAACGTGAATCAAAACCACGTACAAAAACTGTTCAAATTTATCGTTGGGTATAAGATTATTTCTTTGTAATTAAACAGTTCTATTTTTATTTTTTTAGAATCCTGAAGAACCAGATAAAAAACCATATCTACAAGATTATAACATAGATTTAAATGAGTATGTTTCTAGTAGAAGAAAATAGAATCTTGTAGATATTATTTTATTTGAAGTTGTGGTCCTATGGTTCTTGATGCTCTTATTAAAATAAAGAATGAAATGGATCCTTCATTGGCTTTTCGTCGTTCATGTCGTGAAGGTATTTGTGGAAGTTGCTCGATGAATATTGATGGTCGAAATACTCTTGCTTGCATTTGGTATGAATGATCATTAAAATTCTATTCATAATATTGATTTTATTTTTTTTTAGTAAAATTGATGAATCAAGTAAACCATTAAAAGTCTATCCACTTCCTCATATGTATGTTGTCAAAGACCTTGTTCCGGTATATCAATAGAAAATAAATTATTTTCTTTGCTTATTTTATATTCATTTATTTTACAGGATTTTACAAATTTTTATATGCAATATAAAACGATTGAACCATATTTAAAACGTAAAACAGAAATAAACATTGGAGATAAACAATTTTTTCAAAGTGTTGAGGACCGTAAAAAATTGGTAGAGTTATTTAGAAAAAATTTTTTTTTCAAGGTTTAATTAAATGATTATTTTAGGATGGTATGTATGAATGTATTCTTTGTGCATGTTGTTCAACATCATGTCCAAGTTATTGGTGGAATGCTGATAAATATCTTGGACCCGCAGTTCTTATGCAAGCTTATAAGTATGTAAACTTTCTTTTTTTTTATTCATTATAAGTATTTTTATTTAGATGGATCGTTGATTCACGTGATGAATATACAAAAGAACGTCTGGAACAATTCCGTGACACATTTTCACTTTATCGTTGTCATACAATCATGAATTGTACAAAAGCTTGTCCAAAAGTATAATAAATAGTTTATATAAAACCTTCATAAATTCCTTTTTTTTATTTAGGGTTTAAATCCTGCAAAAGCTATTGGAGAATTAAAAGCTTTATTAGCTAATGTTGCAACATCACCATCGAAAAATTCAGCAACTGTTGGCCCCGACTATAAATGAAAAGGATATATGACATACTAAAAGACCTTAATACTTTTATCAAATTATTTTAAGAGACCAATTTGAGTATATATATACATATATGGATCTGTATCCTTTTCTGTACTTAGCTTATTATTCCCGTATTCACCATTTTTTTTCTTCTTCAAAACTAAATAAATCAGCAGTAAAAGCTTTATAAATGATTTTCAAACATAAAATTTAATATTCAAAATTGCTATTCTAATTATATTTTTAATTAATATACTAATATAGAACCACTATGTTTTGAAGACATATATATTTCAACAAATAGGATAACTATAACGTCATATGTAGATGTCGTCATTTTATTTCGATATGCAATATCAAGAAAATGAGTAAAGAAAAAAATTAACGTCTCGGTATTTGTTTTCACTATAATTTAAGCAATTTATTGAATTAAATTATTCTTTGCTTAATAACATATGTAGCAAATATTTTTGTATTTATTTATTCAGTAATTTGATGACATCATCTAAAAGTTTTATAGAATTCAATACTCTTTGTCGTTTACAGTTTTGATGTAGGAAAAAAAAGAAAAACCCAAACGTCTCTTAACGTGACTGACACATATATTGTGTAAAACATGACGGTGAATGAATCACCGGCTTGGTAAATATATATATACACCATTTAATATTATTTTACATTATAATTTCGAATATGTATCAACAAAATATATCCAGTTTACCTTCAACACAACATAATGATGCGTGCCAAAGTGATATGGCTGATGCATATGAACTTGGTTCAGCTATGGCACGTGAACATTTATCGACTGAAGATAAAAAACTTTTAGATGACATAGGAGATGATACAGTTATTGTTGTGCCAGGCACTTATGATCATATACATCAAGTATTAAAAAGTTTAAAAATTCCATTCAAAATTGTAGAACAAACAGAATTATTAACGTATCCTTTACGTCCAGAAGATCAAACTGTCTATGTCAATTGTGCTAGCAGTTTTCCACCTAATGCTGCTCATCGTTTACGTCAATTTGTTAATGATGGTGGACAATTAATTACTACAGATTGGGCATTAAAAAATGTTCTTGAAGTTGCATTTGGTGAAGTAAGTTAATTATTTATTCATATCTATATGTTTACTTATTTTTTCTTTTATTTAATAGTTTGTTCGAGATAATGGTGGTAGGACGGGTGATGAAGTTGTTGGAATACAAGTAAATGATCCAACAAATCCAATTGTAGCTGGATTTTTACCAGCTGCACAACATGTTGATCCACAATGGTGGCTTGAATCATCATCATATCCAATTGAAATAGTTGATGCACAACGTGTACGAGTTTTAATTAAATCTGATGAATTAAATAAAAAATATAATTCACATGCTGTACTTATCACATTTGATTGTGGTAAAGGTAATGTTATACATATGATATCTCATTTTTATTTACAACGTTCGGAAACACGTAATGAAAGACATAAAATGTCAAGTGAGCAATTTGCTGTTGATATGAATATGTCCGACGAAATTAAATCAAAAGCAAAAAATATGAGTAATTTAAATTATGCTCAAGTACAATCAACAGCAACATCGTCAGCATTTATTTATAATCAATTAGCTGATCGTCTAAAGAAGAAATCAAATAATTCTTAAATATTTTTGTAAAATGTTACAATTTCTTTTTTATATTTATAAATAAATATCATAGCAGAGAAGCCAATTATTTTGGTAAGAACAAAAAAAAAGAATAAATCAATTTGTCTCGTCATACATTTTATATATATATATATATATTTATTTACCATGTTCTTGCCCCTCAGTATACCCACACATACACACTTATATGTACAGACTAGATAGGGATTAACCAGCTTTTGTATGTCACTTACTGTTGGTGATTGAATTATGTACACGAAAAATAAAAGAAATGAATAAGATAAAGTTCTTTTCTGATTTATATATTCATCTGACAATTGTATAGAAGAATCCTTGAAGAAGAAAATTTTTTAGCTATAAAAGTAAAAAATATATTATTATGATACATGTAAACATTTATTAGATATGTGTATGTGTTTAGAATTTTAATTTACAAGCAAAAGAATGGCTGATATAGATTCTAATCTATTTCCTACTTCAATAATTAAGCGTATTGATAATCCTTGGATTGGCTTACTTGTTTTAGGCATTTTTATTTTGATTTCATCTATTATTGCTCTAATTGTTTTATGTTTTCTTTGGCGTCGACATCAACAACGTACACAATTATATAATGAAAATTTTATTCTAAGTAATAAACCAACTGGAAAAAGACAAATACCAATACAAATTGAAGATCAACAATCGAAGTCTTATGAAACTCAAGTATTTATTATAATTAAAAAACAATTTTTTTGTTTTTTTGTTATTTTCTTTTATTATTGAATAGAAAATGGAAGTATTTGTTCCATCAAATGATAATGAAAGAATTCATACACGTTTTACATCTCCAAATGATATTCAACAAGTTCAACAATTTTACGAACGGTTCGTTTTTAATTATAAAAATAAATTTATTTTATAAATATATATATATTATTTGTATTCTAGGACAACAAAAGCTTATTTTTAATAATACAAACATTTCTACATATTATATTACAATTTAGTTTAGTTTGTTAAATATACATTTAATAGTTATTAATCTTAAATAAATTTACTTAATAATTTTTTAAAATCACCCGAGTTCCACATATGTAAAAGATCATTCTTCATTGTTTTCGTATCATTGATTGTTTCAGCAATTGGTTTCATAAGATCATCTTTTGATTCTAAATTATTTGCTATCCAAGCAAAACCTTCTTCAAGACCTTCTTTGCTCGGTGCTGTTGTAGGTTGTAAATGCCATTTTCTTTTCGTTTCATCTAATTTTGATAGATTTAGTTTTTCTTTCATTTCATCAATTGTTAAACGATTTGGTAAATCTTGTTTGTTTGCAAAGATAAGAACAGGTACAGTTTTTAATTCATCTTCATTCAGCATGAGATGTAATTGTTCACTTGCATCATCTATTCTGTCACGATCATTTGAATCGACAACAAAAACAAGTGCTGATGTATTTGCATAATAATGACGCCACAATGGTCGGATTTTATCACGACCACCAACATCCCAAGTTGTTACACACAAGTTACCATATGTGATTGTTTCTACATTAAAACCAATTGTTGGTATTGTTGAGACAACTTCTCCGAGTCTTAATGCATAAAGTATAGTCGTTTTACCAGCTGCATCAAGACCACACATGAGTAAACGTATTTCATTTTTTTTAGAAAAATAAGACGAAACTTTTGCCATAGATGAACCCATATTGTATTTGAAATAATATGAAATTTTATGTTTTACTTTATTCGAATGTTGTTTGTCTGTAGAAGTAAAAAAAAATCTACGGTATATATATAAAAGAATGACGTTTTTTTAAATAGTCAGCCGTGCGTCATGAAGTAACGTATGTGGGCTTACATTTCTTTTGCCACGTTTAATATGACAACGTGGCAAAAATTGCACAATCACCATGTAATATTGTCTCTATTCATTAATGTTAAAATCTTTAATAATGATTAGTTCATACATAAAGATGACAAAAATTCAAGATATTCTCAATTAAATTATATTAAGAAGACAAGCAACAGAGTATTGTAAAGAATCTAATTCAATTAGTTTTGCTTTCAATTTTAACCAATGTTTCTTCAATAGTGTTGAATGTTACTATAAATTTAATTGTTTTTTTTTGATATATGTATATATATTTACTATAAAAATCAAGAATGCAACAAGATTGATTTGAGCTATTAATAAAATTTTCTGATGGGTATTATCCGTGATAAATTGTGCACATGTATTGCACGATGTTTTACAATTGTCATACATCAGAATGAACTGTCGACAATCAACGAAAGCATACACATACGAGAAAGAAAAAGAGTCAGAAAGAGAATGAGAGAGAGAGAGAGAGAGGGAAAGGAAGTAAAAGCGAAAGTGATCTTGGAAACAAAACGGGAAATAGCCTAGCTGCTTTGCCGCACCCTTTCTTCCATTACTTGCTCGCCAACAAGACAATGTTAACAGCGGAGGCGTTAGTAGCACTATGTAAGGATAGAAGTAGAAGAAGGAGAGAACGAGCGAAAGAAAAAGCGTTTTTTATTGATGAACAAAGGAAACTTTATCTTTTGCTTCTCGTTCAAAATGACTCTCACAACACTCTACTCTGTTATGTCCTATTCTTTTTTTTTGCTACAATTTGCGATCGTCTATAGTCATGATAAGAGACTACAAAAAAAAAGGAGAAAAAAGCATGATAAATAGTAGGAGAGAAAGCAGAAAAGCAAGTAGTAGAAGAGAAAGAGAAACGAAAAGAATTCTCTTCCGTTGCTTTTCCCATCACAATCATCACTTGTTCTACAGCTTGCATTATATTTAGACAAGAAAAACATGTGTTTAAGGATGAATACTGAGATTGAAAGAGAAGATAATGCTAACAACAGCAGTAGTAGGAAGAGTAATAGCAGTAAGTAAAGAGAAAAGCAATCATAACCGTAATAAAATACTCTTCTTCTTATTCTTCTTCTCCTTCTGCTTCTTATTCTTTATCATTGTCATTGTTGTCAAAGATGTTCCTCACATTCTCACATATACACTCAAGCATATATATATATACATTCAACATGCCAACATAGAGACATAGTGAACAGGAAAATAGAGAAAATCATTGCATGCTATTATATGATTCTTTATATTCAAGTAAGTATAATAGATTTACTATGCTATGTATGTCTACATAAACATATTTTGAAACGAATCATTTTATTGTCTTGTCATTTTTATTAATGACATCGACGACAGGATATTGCATATGCCTAGTTGTTAACATTATTCTGAAATAGTCATCTTGATATATCTATTTTTCTTGTCTTTTGTTGCTCTAATATTATTAGATCTGTACATGATTTTTCTTGATTATGTTTGTTTCTTGTCTTTTTTCTATTGCTATTATAATTGCTATATGTACGCTGCTTTTCTGTCCATCAACGCCTATAAAAGTGCATGTCACGCACGGCAAGATGCTACCAAGCATCATCGTTTGACATTAATCGAGCTGCTGTTTGCCATTTCCCTGCATATTCTTGCATACATATGCGTAACGATCTTTCATTTATATATTTTACAAATTAGCTGTCGGCTCGAGTGGTGATAGACGCTTACCGGTCTTCCCGTCATTCACGTTCCTCTTCTTCTTTTCATCATCTTTACTGAAAACAGTTTCTTTTGTTTAAAAACTATATTTTTTTTCCTTTTTTTTTCTTCTTTCATAAATATGTTCATCCTGTAATTTTATTATTGACATTTGTCTTTCTTTTCAGAGAAAAAAAATGACGATAATCATTAAGATATAATGATGTTCTTCCGTTTTTATTCATATTTTCGGTTTTTTTTAATACACATGTTACCCATTTCGTTTTGTTTAGTATATGACACTTTTTTTCTTCTTCTTCAGATCTTATGTGACGCGACAATTATTGAATAAAGAGTCTTTGTTTCCACCTGATTATAAGAGAAATAGTTTTCTCTCATCATTTTTTTTTTCTTTTTTTAGTTTTCTTTTGTGCTCTTTCATAGAGTCCTTCTTTTGGCGTCGTCGCGCTTTTCTCAATTATATAATTTTTTTTCTCTTCTCTTTCCATTTGTTATATATGTTTATGCTAGGGTATACTAACGGAAAAGACTGAAGCAAGCTTCTTCAGCTACAGCATACACGTCAACGATTTAATCTCTTTTATTTTCGATGTTCTGCTCTCTTGTCGTTTCTCTTTTCTAGCGTTTCCCTTATTCTTATCCGTGTGTGCCATGATCAATTCCACTTGGTTAGATTGAACATCGAGATACGAGAAACTGTGTCCGCTAGCAAATATTATAATTACATTGCCAAGGTGAGTTGTTTATAAATAGAAACATATAGTAGTAGTAGACACATTCTTTTCCTACATAAACTAACATTAATCTTGTTTTGTCTTATCACTAGAAATTCAAACGAACAACTGTTAGAAAATCTATATACTTGATAAAGATGCAAAAAGATTATTGATTCGGACCTATCTTCTTTGACACTTCATCTTTGTCTGTCTTTTCTTCTATCTTTCTCATCTGTCTATGCAACAAAGACTAATGATCTGGTTTGCGCCTACAAGGCGTCTATATGTTAGATCGTTTTTTGATATGACTGTCATCATTTACAGGCGCATACATAGACCCTAAGACAACGTCCTAGCAATAGACAAGATGAAAATATAAAAGAAATCTAAATAAGTCTTATGACTTCTATAAATCGAATGATCTTTTTTTTCTTCCGAACATTTAGCCAGAAGAAAAGATAATATGATCAAGAAGTAAATATATATATTTCAAGATGATGATGATGTTTTTGTCTAATTGCTAATGGTTTTTTCTCCTCCGGTCGGAAAAATAGAGTGTTAACCATCCTTGCTTCATTTTATCGTCTCCTACTTTCACTCTCAAATGTCTATCTTATGTTTATTGACATTTGATCAAAGTACGTGATCTAAATAATTTAAAAAGATCGAGAAAACTCTTTATATTTTCTTTTTATAATTTTTTTTTTCATGTCTTTGTCAGAACTGATCAAGTGTATTTACGTTACAGAATCAAATAGCATAACAAATATGTAAGAATAATATATAAATATACTTGTTTTCATATTTAATTTTCTACCGGTATGCTTTTTTACATTGTTGACGTATATAAAGAAAACAACGGGTTTTTTTTCTTCTTTATGGAAACACATATACACAAGTTCTAGCAACACTCATCTTTTTTTTCTTTCCTCTCTCTCAGTTGCCGTATCACTCGATCATCATCGTCATTTTTGCTTGTCGACGTTCTATGACATACAAAATTGTTCTGGTGAAGTACTCGTGTGTGCATGACTTGATCGCATTCCCAACGCAATTTACTTGTTTCACATGTAGCTGATTTGTCTATCTCTCCATCTTTTTTTTTATCTCTCTCGTATTTCTCTTCGTTTCTATGAGTAACGTTACCCGATCGCTACATCAATCACTTCGTTCTTTTACAAGAAACTTGTAGATTAATGTCTTAGTTCTTATATATATATATATTATATATAGATATATGTGGGTGTTTCTATTACTCATATGTACTCTAATTTGTGGTTGATAAAAGACGAAAAGAGAACAGTTTGAATAATTATTTCTTATTTCAGATTGTGCTGTTGCTGTTGACCGGTGCTTTGCATGACAGGCCACACATCAGCTATATGTATGAAGATATAAACTCGTTCTTGCTACGTCTTGATCTGACGGCTCAAATTATACATAAGAGCACCATCATTACCATCGATGTGTTTGTCGTTCAAACAAATTACGGAACCTTCTTGATAGTTGTTGATATATATCGTATGGCCGATGCCGATAATCGGGTTATCCTAAATGTAGGTGGTATCCGTCATGAAACATGTATGTATCTATTAATCTATTGACTTCTTTAAAAATTAGTATAAATAAATGTTTGATTTCTTTATTTTTTTTTTCATTTTCAAAGACAAAGCAACATTAAAAAAAATACCAGCTACACGTCTCTCCCGTCTTACTGAAGCTCTCTCAAATTACGATGCTGTCCTTAATGAATACTATTTCGATCGACATCCAGGTGTATTTGCACAAATACTTAATTATTATCGTACTGGTAAATTACATTATCCTACTGATGTATGTGGTCCATTATTTGAAACTGAACTTGAATATTGGGGCCTTGATGCAAATCAAGTTGAGCCCTGTTGCTGGATGACATATACAACCCATCGGTACGTAATTAAATCTATTAGAGATAAACGATTTTGTTTATTTATTTTTCTGTATTTAGTGATACACAAGATGTCCTTGTTGGTCTTGATCGTTTAGATCTTGATGCTGAACCGATAACAGAAGAAGAAATTCCACATAAATTTGGTTGGGATTATGATCCAACAATCCGTCATAAAAATATGAGTTTACAAGAATATATGAAAACATTACCATGGTTTAAACGTATACAACCACGTATATGGCAATTATTCGAAGAACCTTATTCCAGTAGTGCTGCTAAAGTAAATAATATTTTATTTTTTTTTTGAATTATAATACATCATATGATTTTCATATTAGGCAATACAAGTTGTTTCAATCTTTTTTATCCTTGTATCAATCGTATCATTCTGCTTAAAAACACATCCCACAATGCGTGTACCAACAATTCAACTTATTGAAAATAATTTTACAAATGTAACACCAACATATACATTATATAAAGAACGAACAGAAGCACATGAAGCATTTCAGTATATTGAAATAGTATGCAATGGTAAATAAAAAATTAATTCTTAAAAAAAATTTAGATTATATATAAATTTCTTTTGTTTTAGTTTGGTTTACATTTGAAATTATAACACGTTTTATAGTATCACCAAAAAAATTTGGTTTCGTTAGATCACCCGTGAATATAATTGATTTCCTTGCAACATTATCATTTTATTTAGATATATTATTTAATAAGATCTTACCAGAATCATTTACAAATACAGATTTATTTGAATTTTTTTCTATAACACGTATATTTCGTTTATTTAAATTAACAAGACATTATGGTGGATTAAAAATTCTTATACATACATTTACAGCATCAATGCGTGAATTAATTTTACTTATATTTTTTCTTGTTTTATTTATTGTCATATTTGCCTCATTAATTTATTATGCTGAACGTTTACAAAAAAATCCCGATAATGATTTTACATCCATACCCATTGGACTTTGGTGGTCCATTGTAACAATGACAACAGTTGGATATGGTGATATGGTACCAAAAACTTATGTTGGAATGATGGTTGGTGGGTTATGTGCATTAACAGGTGTATTAACAATTGCATTACCCGTTCCTGTCATTGTTGCTAATTTTGCTATGTATTATTCACATACACAAGCACGTTCAAAATTACCAAAGAAACGACGCAGAGTTATGGCTGTTGAACCAGTTAGACCACCAAGAGGAGCTGGCCCTGGTGCAGGTGGCGGCGGTCCAGGTGGTGGTGGCGGTGGTCCAGGTGGTGGTGGTGGTGCAGGTCCAGGAGGAGGTACTGGTGGTAGAGCTATGAATAAGTTTGGTATGGATACTGAACGACCAGGTGGATCATTAAGCATCCAAGATTCAGGACCTGGCGGTGGACCTCGAAAGAATGTTATTAAACAAGGAGGTGGTGGTATGGCTGCCAAACTTGGTATGACTGAAAATAATGTTACTCATAATCGAATTGGTAAGATAATTATTTAACATCATATAATTATATTTTTTAATAAGAAAACAAAGTAAAATATTGAGATTGATTTTTGTAAAACTAGATTAAAATACTTTTAATATTGTTTTATTTCGTTAATCTATTTTATTTAGTCACCAGTAGTTTTCAAACATTCCTTGAAGGTATATCACCTATATTCATGCTTTAATCATTTCTTTATTCTTCTTTTTTTATCTTCATCTGACTCTTAATAAGCTTTATTTTATCTTTTTCTTTTGAAACGTTAAGCTCTCCTACTTTTTATATATGCATCTTCTTCATTGCTATATTCAATGAGAATCACAACATATAGATATATATATATCTATATATTCATTCATACACATCTGTCTATGTTTATAGCAAATTACATCTTCTAGTACTCCTTCTTCTTCTTCTTCTTGTTTATGCTATTGCTATATTTCTACTTAGAAAAACCAATCAAGAGAAAATGTACTATCTTTACATATATATGTGTATGTCTTTATATGCAATTGATGGTAATATAGTTATTCCATTTATTTGTCGATTCATGTACCGACATTTATTTTCCTATCTATTCGAATAGAGCCTATCTTACGGATTATAGATTTATCTGCTACTTTTTCTAATTATCATTATTCTTAGTAATATTTATATTAGAAAATTTAGTTGATATTTCATTCGTTCACATAGGACATGACAATGAAGAACATACAACAATGATCAAACCTAGTCCGATGATCAGCGGTCATCATTCTAATGTGGCCAAAGTTTAGGGAAGCAAAAAAGATTCTATGATTTTTCAATCATTTTTAAACTTAGGTACGATATTCTATTTCTGCTCGTTTCGATTGGAAAACACATACATATATATATATACATATTTGTCACATAAAGCACATCTATATTATTTTTTTTTTCAAAATTATCTGTCTTTTGTTTTACACAAGCACGTTATAATTTTGAATTTGATCTATATGATTTATCTTTTATTTTTTTTTGGGGAGGAGAAGCAAAAGGGGATGAGAAAAAAAACAAGAAAATTTAAAATAAAAAATCATCAACTAGTCCATCTCTTTAGAAGACCATCCATTGTGATGATTGGTATGAAAAACTTGTAAGTTTATATATTAGAATAATAAATACATTCTAACTATTCCCTTTTATTGCTCTCTCCCACATTGTTTTACAATACCTCGCATGATCATTTTGTTATTAAAACAAAATGTATTATTTATGTTGTGATATTTAATTGTTTGTTAATTTATTGTATGTTCATGTTTATATATTTATATATGCATATATATATGAAACATAATCGAAATATTTCATGTTTATTTTTTTGCAGAAAAAGTGGAAGCGAAAATTGAAAGTATTAATACATCACCAATAACTGATAGTACTAGTACAATTGATACGCAAGGTGATGGTAATAAACCAGTACAACAATCATCGTCTCGTATACATTCATCAAATACAATTCTTACTGAAGTTGTTAATTAAAAATTATTTATTGGTGATGGTTCTAGTCAAAAACAAAAATCCCTCTTATTAATATTTACAAGAAAACGCACAGAGAAAATTATGTGAATGCCGTCCTGTACAGCTTGCATAGTCCTAATTCTTTTTTTTTCTCTCTCTCTATATATTTCTATCGAGTTCCTTTTTATATTGTTGCCAATTGTGATTGAAATCTTCTTTTTTTTCCTCTCTCTCTCTTTTCTTTTTTCTTGACACTTGTTTTCATTTCATACCACATTTGTTCGGAGAGCAGTCATGAGAAATAAACGAAAGAAAACTTATAATGAAAAACAAACTGAATAGACATTATAAACACGCTCGATCGTTCGATTAACCCGCCAGAGAACGGATACTTAAATTAATTTACTTTAGTGCAAGCATGAAACAATCAGACAACGACCAACTAGACTAAATTGTAACAGATAAATAAGAGAAGTAAATATAAACTTGATGAAGAAACGATTTCCCTTAAGAATTTCATGGAAAGAATAACGATGATGTCCTTGACAGTAGAACCTGTCCGGGAATTCATTTGTATGTATTAAAGAAAAACAATCAAACAAATTGTGAAGATAGAAAAAGAAGAAAAAAAAGAGCAATTTTTGACAAAAGGGAATAAGTTAATAATTATATTTATGATCGTAATTCTTTGCCAAAACTTGCATCAATACGACGAATGTATTGTTCACACCATACACGTAATGATTGCTTAATTGAAGAAAAAAATATACATAGTTTGTTTTTTAATAAATTAAACTAGATAACTTACTTCACATTTTGTTATAATTGGTTTAATTTCCGAATGTTGAATAATTGGCTTAATACTAGCATCGTTGTATAATGAATAACTCCATTCATGTGGCAAAGCCTATTAAAAAAACTATTAACTTTCTTTTTTCTCTCTTTCTTTATAACACATACAAGTATTTGAGGAGAAGATTTAACTGCTCGTCGACCGACATAAAATAGAATTGATGCTAGAACTTTAAGACTAGCTGATTGAGTTGGTGTTAACTGACCAAGTAATAATCGATATTTAATTGGTTTAGTAAGAAGCTGAAGAAAAGATGAAATAAGTGTTTATTTAATTAGAAAAAAGTTAATCTACCGTAGTGACAAGTGCTCGAAAAATAAAACTACCGATAATCAAAAGTATTGCTCGTTGTTTTGTTATATGTGTAAGTTTTGATTTATTAAATTCAAGAAGTTCCTTTGCAAAACAAAATAGAATTAATTAAAATAAATAGAAGAAAGAACTAACTTTTTCACATTGCCAAAAATAATTATCAGGAAATGGATGACCATTTTGAATAAGTGCTGCTATAGCTGAATTTTTTGACGTACCAAGGACACCATCCTTTGGCTAAACAATTGAAAAAACAAAACTCATCTACTTATTTATATTATAAATATTTTTACCATAAAATCAACAATTCTTGAAATAATATTTTTTACTGCATCACCAATAACATAAATCGCGTTTGAATAATTCTTTGATGATGCATTCAATGCAGTTCTTAAATCAACTGTATTAGATGTTGCTTGAATCAATGCATTATAAATTGGACCTTCAGGTTCAAGATAAACTCGATGTAATGCAACCATTATTTCTTGTAAACGAATTTTATGTATTGTTGCACTTAATGTTTGTTGTGAACGTTTCTTTAAATTAATTATTATATGATACAATGTCTTTTTTTTTGTTTCGTTAAACTTACTGTATGATTTTTAACAGCACGACGTTTAAGAACTTTTATAAAAAGAACTGCAATAATTGCTTTTCGAAATAATTGTCGAACACGTTTATTTTTCTTTTTAGTTTTTTTAGGAAGACTTCGTTCAGTAAAAAATCCTTGTTCTTCTTCTATAATTAAAAAAGAAAATATAATAAATATTTAACAAGTCAATTCATTTGTAAATAATTTTATTAATTAAATTTTTACCATGTCTATTTTTGCTTCGATGACGACGATGATGATGATGATTATTATTATTATCACTAAATAAATTATTTTCATCATCATCATCATCCGATGCATCTGATTCCGAATCTTCTGATACAACTGTTTCTAATCAAATGAATAAATGTTATTTCGAATTAAACTATGTTTATATACATACTATGTCGTCGAACTTTTCTTGATTTACTTTTGTGAAGACTACGATGACGTTGTGGAGACTCATCTTGTTCTAGAAATGAATGTGTACACGCATTTTCTATATATATGTATATCGGTATATTTTGATTAAATAAAATAAAAAGAAATCAAGTGCACAACACAAACAATAAAGAAAGTGACAAAAGAAAAGGTTTTATTATTTTTTAACAAACAGTTAATATTTAAGTGCAATAATATTAAGTTTTATTTGACATTTATAATTAAATGTTCACCTCTTTTTGATGTAAGAAATATATCACTTGGCAATTCAATTAAATGTTCACTATGATCAGGTAAACCTAATGGTATAGATTGTTGATAATTTTTATAGCCTTGTAAATTATGTCTAGCTAGATAAAGAGTTGAGTTTGTTGCATATCTATATATATGTATAATTATATGATATTTATATTCGAATGTAAATAAAAATAATTACGATGGTCGATTGAAACGATTCGTATCAGATCCTTGTAATATAGGGGGTAACTTTGGAGAAGAATCACTATGCATTATATTATTTGCACCTCCCTAAAAAAATTATTTTGTCGCGTTCTTTTACTAAGAAGAATAAAATCAAATATTTAGATACATACATCATCGTAATCTGGTTGAGAAGGATAATGAGGATCACTACCTGATCGAAGCATATGATGTAAACCATTTGTAGGTGTTCGACTGCCATCTTAAGTTAAAATATGATATCAACTGAAATTTCATATATATCAAACAAACCATGCTCAAAATAATTTGACGGTGGTGTATTTGCAAAGTATATATCATCGTTTCGTTGTTGACTTCGTAATAGCATTCGTCGTCCGGTTGGTGAAGATCCTATTACATAAAGAAATATATCTTTATATTTACAGAAATTTAAGCTATTCTATTATACCTATATAGGGACTATAATTTCCAAGACCACTTTGGCGACGTTCAGGAGACAACTGAAAATGGAGAAAACAAAACGTTTGAAAATTTGGTTTGAAAATGTTATACATCATATCCGCGATCAACTAAATGTCGTCTAGCCATTGAATCAATTAAATCATCCATATTATCTGATGCATATCGTCGGTCTTCCAAAATTTCTAAATTGCAAAATTTGATTTTGAAAAATAAGAAAAAATTTGCTATATACCATTAAGAGGTTTCATTTGAGAACGAGATACATGAGAATAATCTGATAATAGTACAGGTTGACGTGATACACGACCACTATTCAACGATGCCTTTAAAAAAAAAATAGAATTGATAAAAACAGTTTTGTTATCATTATCAATTATCTAACTTGAATTTTTTGTATTTCTAATTCTCTTTCGATATCCAATTTTGAATCAGGATCACCTTCCATCCCTATACGACCTAAATATAGAAATATTATACGATATGATAGAGAAAAATGTGTACAAATGTCCAAGGAAAGAGAAAGCTGTGTTTATCTATGTGATATAAATAACGTCTGGCTGGATCGAGATAATCTCGAAAAAATTTACCAAAATTTCAGTAGATAATGATGAATATACATAATCTCTTGCTGATTTAAACGATAAAAATTGATCCTGATTTTTTTGGAATGTAAAATTTTTCTTAACTTTTTTCTTCTGATAAAATTATAAAACTACATACGTGTTCGTTTAATATATTCATCAGTAGTACGACGTTGATAATTAAGGTCCTTAATAAAAACAAAATTTTTAATAAAGAATAGTTTTCATAATAACTTACGGATTCAATTAAACGATAACGAAGATCTTGAATACTATTATCACCAGTAATACTCATTGGTTGTGATAGAAACTAAATGAATTATATATGTATATCACTTCAAATAAAACAAATTTAAATCTGTCATGGATATTTAAAAAAAAATTTTTCTCTTTTATTCTTCTTTTTCTGTTCTTTCACTTATTAAAATCATATGTAAGAACGTGTCATTTCAATTGTTTACGATGTATATAGTCGTCAAAGTCGATCGTTGCTGTTGCTATCAACGTCAAAAACGATGATTGTTTTATTTTATTGTTAGCGATAGAATGGAAAAAAAGAATTTTCAATTTTCTTCTATTTTTGTCTTACATACACCTTTATTTTTCATTTTCTTGTTTTTATATAAACAAATATTAAGTAATATTAATTGTAAATGAAATAAACACTTACACTAATATCAAATGGAAATCGTGCAAAAACAGGCAGATGTTTTTTGTTCATAGATACAATTGAAAGTGCATCATCGTCGCTTACTGTTCGTATGCCACTTGACACTTCTCTCTAAGAGAAATATTTGAAGGTTTTTATAAAACAAATATAGAAATGAAATTGGACACACCCCATCAAATTTTGAACTTGGTAATCCACTTTGTGGCTGTTGAAACGGAGATATATTGTTTGATGCTGGTAACGGTATGTGTTGACCACTAGGTGTTAATCGATTCGATACTGGACTAACAACTTGTGATTGTTCAAAATTTCTAATATCTGGATTATTAGTATTAATTACTGTACCAGTAAGTGGACCGGGGTGACCCGTATTCGGACCATTGAACATACCAGGTTGAGTTGGTACTTGAGATAACTGAGATGTTCGACGACCGGCGAGCTGTGCCGATGGATGATGAGAAGGTTGTGGTGGCATTTGTGACGGATTCATTATTTGTCCCGATGGATGATTAGGCATTTGAGGGTGTGGTGGACGATTCATCGCTTGTGCTGATGGATGACCACCAGGCATTTGAGGGTTTGGCGGACGGTTCATCATCTGTGCTGATGGATGACCACCAGGCATTTGAGGTGGTGGTGGACGGTTCATCATTTGTGCTGATGGATGACTACCAGGCATTTGTGGTGGTGGTGGACGGTTCATCATTTGTGCTGATGGATGACTACCAGGCATTTGAGGTGGCGGTGGTGGACGATTCATCATTTGTCCCGATGGATGATTCGGCATTTGAGGTGGCGGTGGTGGACGATTCATCATTGGTCCTGATGGATGATTCGGCATTTGAGGGTGTGGCGGACGGTTCATCATTTGAGATTGTGGTGGTGGTGGTGGACGATTGACCATTTGTGGTGATGAATGATTAGAGATTTGTGGTGGTGGATAAGGACCATTTTGCTGTGGATGCATCGGTCGAGGAGGTTGTCCATTATATTGAGGTTGACCATTCATTTGAGGATTATATGCTCCAGGAACATTTGATGGAAATGGCTAAAAACGGATAACAACAAATAATATTAAAATCTGCTTAAAATGGCTGTTATGAAGAAAAATGCTGTTGTCTTACCTGTGCCATACATATGTTGAAAATGACTTTATAAATACCGAATGACGAAAAGAAAAAAAAATTCGTATAATTTTTAATCTTTCTATGCTGTTAAATTGTGAGAGAAAAAAAGAAAAAAGAAATACGTGTAAAATGCGATCGAACGTAAACAAGAAAAAACGATGAAGGAGAATAGTTCAACATTTTATATACAAAGCAAAGAAATGCAGTTAAACTAACATTTAAATTGTTAACTTTAGCCGCTTTTCTTTTTTCTAAATAAAAACAAATGAAAGTTCTTGTCTATTTCTATCCTCTTCGTTCACATATAAGTTCAGTTTTTAAAAACAAACTAATACATGAAAGAAAAATATAAAATATTTAATTTCAATATTAACTGTAAAATAACATCATTCTTTCTATTGAAGCACTCATTTGTTTTCTCCATAGAAACTAAAATAAAAATAGCTAAAGATACCAAAGTAACGTTAATTGTACCATTTTGTTTGTTAAACATTAACAAAAAAAGATGACAAATACAGACATTCACAATCGTCCTCGCATTTTGCATCTTGTAGTTTCACATGGTGCGAATAATTTTATTCAGATATCTCCTATATAGAATATGATTTATTATTATAGGTGCTGACCAATACGATGTTCATTTTCATATGGAACGACCACCTTTGGTCAGAGATCTTATGGAAGATCTTGAAAATAAAACTCATGTACCAATAATGAATCAACAAGTATTTTATCGTGGTAAGATTTAATAAGTAGAAAGAAATTATGATAATATATATTTTTTCAGGAGAACGTTTACATGAAACCCCTAATAGATCATTGGAACAATATGGGATATTTAATGGAAATCATATTAATTTAGTTGGAGAAAAAGTTTGCTACATCAACGAAAAATAAATATAGTTTTATAAAAATAATTCTTATTTTAGTTAACAGGTACAGAAGAAGAACATTTTGGACGTTTATTAAATCTTGAAAGAGATGTGAAAGTTATCGATGGACTACTTGAACTTATTTGCAATGAATTTAAACATTTTCAACATGTATGTACTATTTTTAATTTATGAGTAATACTTCCTTTTAATTGATATATATATCTATTAGAGAAATGAACCACGAAATCAAAATGAACGATATCTTCATGATTTATATGTACGAAGTGAACGTTGTCGTTCCGATTTCCAAACATTTCAATCAATTGCAATGAATATTAATATTACACCATCTGCACATGATGCTTACAGAAAAAAGAATGAAATCAATGCACTCATTCGCGTTTGTTTTTTCTTCCTTCTATTATAATTATTTATATATATATATAATTTATTTTCTTTTTTTTTTAGGATCGTACAGATATTTCATCGAATGTTATTTCTGCTATTACGTCATATCAAGGTGGAAGCAATGATTATAAACTTCCTACCAATGATCATTATCTTTTTCATAAACATTAGGACAATACTTTTTTTAAATAACTTTGTGTGCTATACGTGCATGACAATCTCAATGTCGTCGCTGATTTATTTTGATAGCAAAAAAAAATAAATGAAGGAGAGAGAAAGTAAAAAGCTACGTCACACATCACTGATTTACATGTTAAAATATGAGTAATGAGCATACGAAACGGACAAGCGTCTAATGTATGCGTGGTATATTGATCACATTCATGGGTCTCTTTTTTTTTCTCTTCTCTTTTTTTTCCTTTCATTACAACACGAAGTGTATATATCTCAGTTTTGCGTTTTTTTTTATCACTGACGAGTTACTCGCGACAAATATTATAAATACGTGATATAGAAAGGACGAAAGAAGTAATTGAATATAAACAAGCAAATATTAGATAAATATATATTCAAACAAAAATGGGTGCAAGTGTAACCAAAGAACAAGCTGTAACAACAGCTCTTGAAAATCAAGATGTAGGTGAATTACGAGCAGCTTTAAGAGATATGACAGCTGAACAGATTCGTGCATTATGCAAATCATATGTACCTTCAGATGAAAACGAATGTACAATTATTCATTATGCAACATGGCAAGGTATAATAAATTCAAATATTTATTTATTTATTTTTTCTATCAATTGTTTTCTTATTTTATAGATAATCCAGAATTATTAGCACCATTATTGGATTATGCTGATGATTTAGAAGTACGTGATGGTCTTGGTTGGACTCCATTAATGTCAGCTGTTAATCGAGGTAGTAAACAAAATGTAAGAATGTTATTAGAACGTGGTGCTCAAATTGATTGTGATTGGGCTGGTGGTATGAGTCTTATTGCTGATGCTATGAATAGCAATGATACTGGTAAGATTAAATATTATGAAATATTTAATAAATAATATTATCTATTTAGAACTTATAACAATGCTTATGGATCGTGGTGCACGAGTTACACCAACACCTGATATGCTTGCTGATAGTGATGATCAAAATGCACTATATTTATTACATTATGCTGTTGATGATGGTCTTCTTGATATCGTAAAATTATTAGTTGAAAAAGGCCAAATACCATTAAATACATTAGATCAATCAGGATGGAGTCCACTTCATTTAGCTGCAGGACATAATTACGTCGAAATTATAAACTATCTTTTATCAAAAGGTGCCGATGTTAATATTAAAGTATGGAAAAATAATTCTTTTATTTTTTTAATTAAAAACTAGATTGATTTATACATATATATATATTTTAGGATTCAAATGGTAATACTCCATTAGCATGGGCAAAGGAAATGAGTGCTACTGAAGCTATAAATGAATTACAAAATCGTGGTGGCATAGCTGATATAGAGTGGCATGGAGATAAATTAGATATGAAAACAAATGAACAACGTGAAGAAGAAGGCGAATTTGAAGAAGGTGAATATGATGAACAAGGTGCATATCAAGAGGAACAAGAACAAGGAGCAAGTAGTGGTATTGAAAAGAGTCGATTTGAAATTGAAATTGAAAGTTCGAAATCTAAAAAGCAAAGTTCTTCAAATAGCAACAGCCCAAATTTAGATGCACTTCAACGTCAACGTCCATCTACTAAAATCGTTTTTTAACATTTTTATTTTTTTATTCTATATACCTTTGTTAGATTGGAACGTTTTTGTTTAAGAAATTTTTTGTTATTAACATTCGTTTTGAATGACCATATAACTTGAAAAGTGGATCAAGTATATTATCAAAAATGCAGTTTTTTCTATCTCTAGAGAGAAAAATCTCATAAGAACGATAGAATATTTCCGAAAGATAAATTTATTCAACGAGAGAGAACATCTACGATTAATGACTTTATAAACAAATAATAGAGATTTTAGTTGTATTACTATTCTACAAATTTTTATCGAGAATGATGTTATCATGGAATCTTTTATAGAAATTTAAAATTATACAATATCTAATATATGAGTAATTTCTATCGATTAGTTCTTTGTAATATTTGTTGTTATCAATTATTTTAATAATTCATGCATTCAATTCCATAACAAATGGTGAAATATATTCAACTTTCTAAAAAATCTTTTGTAGTCGATCATATCATATTCCTATGGAAAAATTATTAATTGTGTTAAATATATTGGAATAATTGATTATCATTTTGACATGTTTAAGATTATTTTAATTTCACTAACTTCTCATCATTAGTATATAAGTAAAATGGTTTTATTTTTGTTATAATCAATTTTTTTAATTATATTTCATACTTTCTGTTTATTCTCTTTCTCGTAGAGAAGAGTCCAGTAAACATAAATTGTCTGATTGCCTGCTTGTGTGTCCACAGGGTCAAAAAAACATCGAAGACCGATTTTTCGAAAAAAACATTTTTAGAGGTATTTCGATGCAGGGACTTCGAATTAGATTTTAATTTTTCAAAATACTTCAAGAAAAAACTTTTTTTTTGATATAAGATTTAACGAAACGGTTTTTGAGGTCATGGAATACGAATCTGATGTTAGTGTGTACAAGTTATATAAGCAAAAGGTCCCGTAGCATTGTAGAACACCATTTCTACGAGAAAGAGGTAAGCGAGTCCTTAGACGAGCGTTGCTTGTTAAATGAATAGATCTAAAATCTAATTTATAATTTTTTTTATTGTTATTATATATCGGAACAAATTTTACTGTAGAATAATCTATATACAACAATAATACAAAACACACACATGCATTACATAAAACAAAAAGACAACACAATAAAAAACAGAAAAAAAAATTTGTGTCAATTATTTCGAGTATTTCCAGTTAATTCTTCTTCCACTACTTTTGTAACTGTTGAAAATTATAGCACCGGAGAATAAGAGTGAGATCGTTGATAATTTTCAAAGTTCGTCACACTAGAACAAGAAAATAAATTCATGATTTTGAAATATTATTTAAAGCAAAAATTTACGTTATATTCCTTATGGTTTTTTACAACATGACGTACACATATTGTCGAAATTTGATAATAGTTCACGTGGACATGGTAATGCATCCATTCCAGCAGGACCAGGTAAACCTGGTCGTCCACGAAAACCTCGTGGTCCTTCTCGACCTTCTTCTCCCTAAAAGAATTTTTGTACATAAAACCTTTCAAAACAATTTTTCTTTAATACATACTCTTTCTCCTTTTTCTCCTTGTGTACCCTAAATAAAAAGAAGATTAATATTTAATAAATAAAAACTTTATTCTTACTCGTGAACCTTGGTCACCTCGATTACCCTGAAATGAAAATAAATAAATATCATAAAATAATTACGATCTTTTATTGATCGATTTCTAAGACATTGTAAAAAGGAAACCAGCAACGCCTAATATATTCTTAATTATTACAACAAAATAGATTATCATACAAACAACAATCAATATATACGGCATGCAATTTACAGACAACTACAACAGATATACATACCGCCGAACGTTTTTTATGCGTTTCATGCATATTCTGAAATACCTAATATGAACATATTTTAGAGTTTTATTATTCTTACCATTGAATAGCCAGGTAAACCCATTGCACCTCGATCTCCTTTTTCTCCTTTGCCTTGATCACCTTTGTCGCCCTATAATAATTGAGAATTATACTAAAATCTAATATATTTTTAATAACTTGCCTTAAATCCAGGTGGCCCAATATCTCCTTTTGATCCGGAAATTCCCTAAAAGTAAAATTTTTAATTTAAATAATTAGTTTTTTTTTCAAAATTAATTTCGTTCTATTCTCTTTGAAAAAAAAACTATATAATTACCATCTGACCAGTTTCTCCGCGATCACCTTTTTCTCCATTATATCCAGGTTGACCAGGAAGACCAATGCGTCCCTATTACATAATAGTAGATGAAAATAATAATTATTCTGAGAATTTCTCTTACTTTTGGTCCTGGAAGACCAGGTGGACCCATCATAACGATATGTGTTGAATTAAAATCAACTTTTTGAATATATCCTGGTTCACCTTTTCCACCACGATCACCCTTCAAATCAGAAAGACAGAAATTATTTATCTTTTTGTTAATTAGAAATCCTATCTTACTTTTTTTCCTGGTGGCCCTTGATAACCCATTTCACCTTTTTGTCCATCAACACCATCACGGCCATTTTGTCCAGAAGTTCCTGGACTACAAAAATCCAAAATAATCTCATAAATAAATAAAACAATAATATTATTATTTATTTTACCTTCCAGGTAAACCAGGAGAACCACGATCACCTTTTGGTCCAAGTATAGAATCACCACGTTCTCCTTTAACGCCTGGTGGTCCAACATCGCCTTTTAAAACAACAAATCGGCGCATTTTAGGCCGAAGAATAGGACCTCGACTGCCTTTTTCACCCTGTATTCAAAAATAGATTACAACATAACAAATGATATTGATTCAGATAAGCAGATATACGAATAGCAATGGGAACATGCAACCGAAAATAACCGAGAATAAGGCTATGAAATATGCTAAAGCGGAGAGGAACATCAATTATGAACAAATGAAAGCTTTACAGAATTGTATAAAGCATATCAATATAAAAATACAAAAGAAATTATTAATAAATGAAGATTAGGCGTTACATGGTTCTCTTTCTTATTGCTGTTCCTATTTTCTCATCTCAAACTATAGTCTTTTCCTACGTTCAAATTCTTATGTCTATAGATAAATATAGATACGCACCTTCTCGCCTGGTAAACCCTAGAATAGAGCAGAAAAAAAAAGAAAATTTAAATATGTTTGAAATATAAATGAACATACATCTTGTCCTGGTGGTCCAGTTTCACCAATGCCGTTGTGACCAGCAGGGCCTATATCACCTTTAGGTCCTGCTATACCAGGTGGGCCAGGTGGACCAGGTGGACCTTGAATATGTTTCATTTGAGACGATGACACTGAACGTTCTACCTCTCCACCACGGCCTGGTTCGCCTTTTTCACCCTAAATTAATTGAGAATATCACTTATTTTTCGTTAATTAATTTAGAATATTTTATAATTATTATTATTATATAAAATAGAAAATACGTACCTTTACACCATTCCAAACAATTGAACCTGGATAACCTCGTTCGCCTTTGGGTCCCATTTCACCCTATAAAAATTAATAAATATACTTTTTCTTTGTAAAACTATTCGATAATGAATATCTTACAGGAAATCCGGCAAAGCCTCGATCACCCTACAGTTAAAAATACTATTGTAATGCATAGAAATTCAAATATAAAACATACTTTTTCTCCTTTAGGACCTATAAAATACTCATAAATCAATATAAAACAAATTGACAAATTATAAGTTCCTACCTGGAGGACATAAACAATTATTTTGTTGCGATTCTTGAACATTTCGTCGTTGACGTATGATACTCTATTTTAAAAAAGATGAAATAAAAGTTTTTTTTTATGATTTATATGTAATAGTTATCATTCGATATGTCAATTTAAATTTTAAATTGCGAATAAAAAATAAATCTTAGTAGACATCCATTTAATTATTATATAGAATGAATAAAACAGAAAAGATAAGATTATCATTGATTCAATGAATGGCAAAAAAAAAGGTCATTTCAGGTTAATCAATATGTTGTTTTTCATCACTATTATTTTGTCATGTTCTTTCTTATATACAAATATAAAATATGTTACATCATTCAATGAACATAATGTTCTTGATAACAATGAAATAAATGTTTCGTGATAAAAGAAACCTCGAAATCAGACCACTTTTTGATAGCTCGATAAGGTCAAATTCGTCATTACGCGCTCAACTTCAACGATACATTAATAAAGTCCAGTTCTCCTCGCTTTCTTCATAATGTAATGTCAATAATCTATTAGAATACTATAAAAAAAAGAAGTTTGTTCGCTATCAATCATTACAAATTTACAACAATAGAATCATTTTAATATTCATATAGACAATATTAAAGTTAAATCGAATTAAGTACTGACTGAAAAGAAAATCTATTTATTAATCTTTTCAATTCCATTATCACTATCAAACCTTTGCCGAATAAAATATTCAGTAATCAAATTTAGAAAGTCACATGAATTATTCAATGTAAATTATATTGTTAATTCAAGCCTATTGTTAATATTACATTAATCTACTACTACTGCTCATAGTATTGAGTGTCATTGACACTCCATTTAGTATTATAATGTTAATAAGAAATATTAATGAACGAGGAAAAATGTTCCGTTATATTTATGACTTAATTGAAACATACAAAACAATTTCATATGAAAGCTTTCTAACTAATAACAGCATTTTTAGAATGCATGGATGTTCCGTGAACAAAAAAGGGTATAGTTCGATTTACGATAAAGTAAACTTATCGAAATCTATAATATATTAATGGAAGTTCTTACTCTTTTTTTATATACTTGAATAACTCATATATGTAATGCAAGTGAAAGGTTAATTGTAAAGAAAGAACAATAAGTAAATGCATTATGTATATGTCAGTATTGATTTTACTATAGAAAGATGTAGGTGAAAAAGTGTGTATAACAAGATGAAACAGTAAGAAAAAGACCGATAGTTGTTAACAGTATCATATATATTATTCGTCTCGTGTTTTTTTTATATTCATTTTCAAATTTATCTATACGATTCGGTTATATAGATTTAATGAAATAAATTAAAATGAACGAAGTAACTCATATACAAATTTTAACAAAACTATGATCTATGTGACCATTAATTCTCGTTCATTGTCACGGTCGCGATCGATATGGTTATTAAACTATTTTTTTACTTTTTAAATAAAATGAAATTTATTTAAATCGAGAAGAAGAAAAAACAAGATTTATCAAATTTTCTTTTTTTTATTGGTTATACTTGTTTTGAATCATTTATGGTCATGTTAGTGCATCTGATTTAATCATAATGAGATTTTATAAGTGACTTTCATAGCAAATTATATGAAGTAATAGAAGTGCTGTTAAGGACAAGTGTCTGTAAGGTGAGAGGAGAGAAATATAAAAGGTCTGAATCTAAAGTTACAACCTCAATAATTAGTTACGTGAGTTGCACAAAATTAAAAAACACTCGTTATATAGCTACCTTAGAAGTTTCTCATGGTTGCTTGAGATTAGATTTTAGTCAGGGACATGTTCAAAGAACTTCTTTTTTTTGTTAGAATAATTACTTGTTACAATGAATCAAGAAGGTTATATCAATTTTGTTTCTTTGAAAAATGCAAAAAATTAGAAACAAAAGATTCACAGTGCGCCTTATAAGAAAACTCATCGATGTATAAGCATGAATTTAATTAGAACTATAAGTTGTTTTTAATCTTTCATTAATATAGTTATGTATTGAAATGTTTTTTTTGACTAGCTGTTTCATAACTTGATTTTTAAGTTCTAATGTATCAAACGTCTATATCTTACAAACATCAATTATTGATTGAAGAACGAAAAAGTGTCATAACGATAATTCCTTAGTTGTCTTTATGTATTCTGTTTTATGTAAAGTGCATGAACACACGTTCATTTTTAAAAAGTAGACATCATCATCATCATCATCATCATTGCGTACTAAAAACTTTTTGAGTATGTATGTGTTCATCCACTCAACGATTTAAAGTGATGTATATATATACTCTTTTCATCGTCATTTTATGACCCCAGTGTCTACCACTTTAAGTAATGAGAATGTAAGAATTTATGTGTAGAGATGTTTATTGAAAAGATGACAAAAAAGCCTTGGTGTTCATGTCAATTTGATATTGATGATAAATGAAAGATAAGATATTTGTTCGTTTATTTTAAACAAAATATTTGACATGCTAAGATATACTAAATCACTTAGTCGATGATGATGATGATTAGCAACTAAGATGATATTTACTCTAATCTCGAAAGTGAAAAGCATAGATGAACATAAATTAAATGAAAAACGAGCAAAGACAAGAGTATCAATTTCCTTTTGTTTCGATGAACCTGTTCAATTTTTTTGCATCAAATTAAATCTTCTTTCTTATGGAAATTCTATTCTTAAATCGACAATTATAAAAGTGGGGAAAAAAGAAGAAAATTCTAACAATAAATTGTTAGTTGTTCTCAACATAATGTGTCAAAGTTAGAGCAGAAGCTTTTTATCGTTAACCTTTGATGTTCGACAAGCAGAAGCACTTAGTGAGCTTTTATCGTCTCGTTTAATTTGTTATGCATGTTTGAAATAAACGAGTACGACCTTGACAAGAACCACATATAGATATATATATATCCATATATATATGACTATGCAAGTGTCAAGGCTCTCAGAGAGCATTTCCAAAAAATATAAGACTTACTATATTTGGTTGACCAATTGTATGACTGCTGGTATTGCTTGTTACATCTTTTAATGTGAATTGTGTAATAAATTGAAGAGCCTTTGTCAACCATTGTTCAATCGATGATGATGATGTTGGTGTTATTTGTATTTGATTTGAAGACTGTAATGATAATGAAGATGGTAAGATTTCTGCAATTATATTCTCTAATTTTATTTGACGTTCAACTAAAACTTGATATTGATGTGTATTATATGCATTCCAAGCAAGTGAAGTAAGTATTAGAAATAAATATATTTTATTTGTAGGAAAACTCATTGTTGGCATCCATGTATGATAATTGGTAATATTCATCATTTTTCTCTTATCGATCGGCATGTCTAGTAATATTAGAAGATTAATGTATTGATGTTTAAATAAGCGTCTGTATATATGTATAATTATTGACCAATTGAGCACAGCAATAGACAGCAACTGTTATATATATATGGTACGTTAGTCAGCGTCACAACAACAACCGCATAGCATAGGTGTTGTGCTTCCGTCGCTAAAAAAGAGGACAAAAATTATATGTCGGTAGATATTAAAATGTCATGTAAGGTACCGAGAGAGAGAGCGAGCAAGAGAGAGAGAGAGGGAAAGAACACACAAACTAGAGCATTGTATGTATGTCTACTATATTGTATAGGTAAGTTCTATTAGATAGGTTCGACTTTGATGACGACGCGTCGATATAGAAAATGTATATATGCTTGTATATGTGCACAAAGAAACCACAATAAGAAAGAGAGGAAGAACGCGAAAGCAAGTATACTATTGTTAAAACAGAGAGAGAGAGAGTGAAAGAAAAAGTGTGCAATCTTTCTTCTTTCTTCTTTCTTGATAATGATGAGATGAGAGAGAGAGAGAGAGGAAAGAGAAGTAAAAGAAAAGAAAAAGTTCAAAAAATTTCCACTTGATGAATTAGAACTTAAGTGGAAGATATCAATTTGAATTGTTTCCTTCTTTGCTTGTAGTACGATACAAAAATGAGCGTTTGAAAGACAATACCACATTTACATACATATATACATCATCACCTACTTTGTCCTGTACATCATCATATTGATCGAACAAACGTATAAGATAGAAAAAAAGGAAATGCTTATTGTTGTTTTAACACAAACTATTTATTATCAGATTATGAAAGTTACAACGTAACAAAAAATCGTTGGAAGAATACTCAAGAACACTCATCACTCAATTATCCGCATATATATGTGTGTGTGTGTGTTGGACAAGAGTATATTATTCCAAGTAATTATCTGATGACCTTTGTTCAAGATGGATTCTGTTGTGATGTCCATCAAAAGAATCCAACTGTTGTGCTATTATCATCATTATAATAATAATTATTAAAAGAAACCTTGTTTGGCTCACTAAATTCCATGATAGTTTTCATCATTAAATAAATTTAATACTGTCATCTATCTATTTTCAATTTATCATGTGAATTGTTTCTATAGTTTATATGAATGAGCTATTTTTTAATTAAAGTTAATCAAACTATTCTTTTGTCAGTCTTGAAATGAAATATAAATAGAAAAAAGAAAAGGCATAAGTCCAATGTACTTATTTTTTTCATTCTAACTGACGTGTGCAAATGTGAAATGAAGTAATTTAACTGACAGATGTCTGACTGAGCTTCTTCCACCTATTTCTATGTCTACTGCAGATGATGATTGACTTTGTCGGAATATATATATATATGTGTTAATTGTATATAAGAGGAATATATATATACAGACAAAGAAAGCAGAAATTAAAAGAAAAAAGTGAATTGGTATTTCGACAAAAAATAAATGAGCAAACACAAGACGTTCTTTTACATCATTACTAATTAGCAAGAAATTGGTAAAGAAAAAAAGAAACATAATATAACTATTCTTTTGTTATATCGATCAATGTTTGACCGAATTGTTACAAACTTTCTTTAGATATTTCGAACATTTATTGATTATTGTCTATGAATAGATTTTTTTCTTCTTCGTCATTGTTCATCGATGAAAAAGTCTTATTAATAGAAGATGAAGATAAACAATGACGATTTATTTTTTTTTGATCATCATTAATAAATAATTTTGATTTTAACTCTTCCCAAGTACAATCAATATAATCTATTTTTGGTAACAATAAACGATCTATTTTTAGTAACGAGAAAAGAAGTATTAATATTTTGCTTTTTGGTACTAAAATATACTTTTAAGAACTTTTCCAAATGTTTTCTCATAATTTGAAAATGAACGTAAAGCTGAATCAAAATCCATTGATACGTAATCAGATTTACTTGCATGATTTATATGGTGTTTAAGACGAATATGATGAAGCATATCAGTTTTCCAATTAGATCGATAAAAACATCGACGACATTTATGTGGTTTATACAATGATCCACTAGAAAGATTTTGTTGATTAGATGAAGATATATGAATTTTTGTTATGCCATCGCCATCATCATCATCATCATGACTGATATTTTCATCAGAATATCCATCATTACTGCAATCACTTCTTGTTCGATTCAACTGAAAAAATTATATTAGGAAAAGAAAAGAGTTGTTATTAAACTAACCAAGTTATATTTCTTCTTTTTTGGAAGAAAAATATTTATCGAAAGATGAATATCAGCATAGGATTTATTTGAATCATTATTAGTAGGTATAATTGGAGCTTGTACAATAGTATTTAATGAATAATTTGGTATTTGTTCGATATGAGAATTATTCAAATTTGATTCATCATTAATAATTAATTTATTTGAATTTTCTTCTATTAATTGAGGACTGGATTGATCAATATTATTTGTATGTATTTTTTTAACATGTCGAACAACATTACTTCGATGATATGCTCGATAATCACAGAGACAACATTGAAAAATCTTTGATAAACGACCATTTGATAAACAAATATTATGAGCAGTCTAATAGAAAGAGAATAAATTCTTTTCATGAGGATATATTTGATATTTACAATATGTTTTGATGCAGCACATCGATGACGATTGACTAATGAATAAGATTCGGTTTGTTGATGAATAGTTGACGATGATGATGATGATGAAATATTTAATGGATCAGGTAAATCATTTTCATTAGGTATTTCAGATTTCAAAAGTTGTTCATCTATATACAAGAAAAAAAATATCGTTCTAAAATTATTAATTCAATAATAAAAAATTTACTTTTAATTGATTTTTGTTTAAGTATAGCAACAAGATTACGTGTATTTGGATCATCGGTTGAGTATTTATGTACGATTTTAGGAAATGAAGTATGCATACGTGATTGATGTCTATATATTGACGAAGTTGATTTAGCCATCAATGGACAATAAGGACAACCATATCGTTTTTGTTCTGAACATAAATTTGGATTGATTGAAAATGTTGATGTTGATGGTTGAATAGAATTATTATTATTAATTTTCTCTATATGTTGTGATATTGATCCTGAACGACAAACGAAATATAAACGAAATTAAATTATTAATAATGTACCGGTAACATCATTTGAATGTTTACGTTTCATATGTGTTACACAATCTCGTCTGTATTTATACCTTTATATAATAATAAATAATATTGAAATGAATAAATTTTAAAAATTTGAATAATTACATGCATGGACATAATAAACATCGAAAATTTTTTTCTGTATGTTTTGCAATATGTATTTGAAATTCTTGAATATTATGTGTAAAATATGGACAAAAAGAACATAAAAATGATTTGATTTCATTGTTAGACGAATGTGTTGGAATGAATAATTGAGATGATGAATTAATTTGATTATTTTCAACTTGATGTAAAGATGACGTTGTTGTTGTTGTTTTAGTAGAAGTTTCATTCAAATAATTAAAAATTTGATCAGCATAATCATCAAGGTCATTTTCTATAAAAAAATCTAATCAATTGAAGTAGTTCTCAAGATCTTATGTAACTAACCTCGATCGACATTATTTAAATTTAAAGTAGATTCATTTCTAGAGTATATATATAATATATTAATTTATATAAATATAAAATCATACAGATCTTTTGAAACAGTTTGAACTATTTCTGAATTTGTCAATGGTAATTTTCTTTTCATTCTATTTGTTGTCGATTGATATTGTTTATGATCATTAGTTGTTTGCTGATTGTTAATTGTATTCATTTAGTTGTTTTTTTATATACAGGTGGATAAGTTCGCGCGTATGAAACGATTATCTTGATTTGTTGTTGTTCATCGACTCTATCTTTATAGTTAGATCGGTATACATAGCAACCAAACAGATGAAATCTTTCTTATTTTATTCGAATAAATTTAATGATCTAGTTTTTTTAATAAAAACCTTTTTCTTGTCAATATTATTTTTCATCATATAAAAACATCAATTGTTTGTTGAAAATGATTAATATTGACATATTTTTTTTCTTCTTTATGTCGAAAATCCTTTTTTGTCATATTAAGACATATACGCATATAGCATCGTATATTTATATCTTACATTCTTAAAAGATGCGTCTTTTAAGTGTCGACTTGTCTCTCAGTGTTTTTGTCGACTATTTAAGTGAGTCCTTTTTATAATATAGTGAATAAATGGCACGGTTGATCGCCGGAGCTGAAAGCTGTTGGCAGCTTGTAAAATTGAGTTTGCGTGTGAATAGAAGAGAGAGGTTCTTTCTCTTTCCTTTTTCCATCTGGTGATTACTAGAAAAATGAATTAGTTACAGTCCTTCTTTTTCTCTTCTCGCCTTTACATTATATTGCCTACTTCATTTTGTTCTTCTCATCTCATTTATTTTCTCTTTCTTTTCACTAGTGATTAAAAAAAATCCTCTATAATATATCATATATATGTTTACTGTATGAAACGACAATGTCATTGAAATCATAAGTGTACCATATACAGATCTTCTCTGGATGAATAGAGAAAAAGAGAGCATTTATATAAATTCATAATTAATTGGTGCGCTTGTTGTCTTCTAGAACAAGATGTTGAAAGAGGAAGGGAAAAAGGAAGAAGAGAAAGATTGTATTCAAAACTAGACAAAAGAAAGAGAAAAAAAGAAGGGAAGTTGTTGCAGATACTAAAACTTCTAGCAGACATCCGACATGTTAGTGACAAGGCAAATAGCAGAAGTAGTAAGAGAAAGAACAGCCAATGTTATAATATATAACATAACAAAATATCATTTTATTAAAGGTAGTAAATAGGTCATAGATCGAGAAGCCTTTAATCTATATTTTTGTAACATGACTATCATATTAAGAGAGAGAAGACTGAATATTTTAGTACTATATTATATTATTTTTCTCTTCTATTTTTTCATTAACAACTCAGTCATGTACATTCTATATGCATGTTCTTTCATCTAAACTAAAACCCAACGGGTATAAGTTCTCATTGTAGCATTAGTTCCGGCAACAACATCAGCAAGCAATTCACCTGAGTTCTCGTTCTCGCTATATATGTGATAGCTTGACGAAGTAATAGAAGAGAAAGAAGACGAAGAAGAAAAAAAAGAAGAAGAAGAAGAAGAATGTTATGGGGGTGCAAAACATAGAGGTACGAGAAAAGTCAGAGATGATTAATAATATAAAGAAGAAAAAAATGGAAACGACACTCGCTACTGTTAATGATGAAAAGGGTGCAGTTGTTCAAGAAAAGAGAGAAGAAAACTGTGAACATAACATAAAACATTTACCGAGTCTCACACACACGTACACACATTTTTTAATGATGTGATCCATTTAGTTGTCGATCAATAACAATAATAATGTCCGACAAAAAAAAAAGAAACGAGAACGGAAGATTATATTCTATTTTCAGATAATTTGCTTTTAGTTCTTATTCTCATGGCTCGTTATGAAAGATTTGATGATGATGCGCCAGCACCAAAATTTACTGTTGTAACAAGATCAAATCTTCCAAACGATCCGGAAATAAGTGAGAAAATTGATCTATTTGTACCAACAAATTCATCATTATCAGCTGAAGAAGAAACAACAACTCGTCATGCACTTATTACCTTAAATATTATTTCAATTGTTGTCAGTACAGTCTGTGGTATAATTACATTTTTTCTAGCTGTTGAAGAACAATCAGCATCAGCACTTGGTTTTGCTGTTGATACAATACTTGATGTATTAGCATTTTTATCAATTATATGGCGTTTTACAAGTACACATGATCAAGTGAAAAAAGAAATTTATGTATTAAGAATATTATCCGTACTTTTTTTTGCTTCTGGTTTTGGTGTATTCATTGATTCAGTAATTGATATTCGCCATAAAGTTCATCCAATACCAAATCATTATTTAGTTGTTGCAGTTGCTATTCAAACTATTGTATTTTTTTGTTTAGCATTTGGTAAATATACTGTAGCAAAAAAATTAAATGTTATCTCAGCATATTCCGATGCATTTAATACATTTATATCAGCTTTAATGGCATTATCCGTAGCTTTTAGTATAACAATTTATAATTCAAATCAAAGTGTTTGGTATTTTGATCCAATGGTAGGAATGGTTATATCTGTAACAATTATGACATATGGTGTTTGGATGATGTTCAAATCATTTCGAGCGACTTAGAAAAAAACATAATTTCAAACTTTTATTTTTGTTCTGTGTCAGATTATTTTAGTTTTGTTTTTCGAAATATATTCTATTTATGCATGTCTATGTATCACATATTTTATTTTTCTTATCGTCGTTTAGTTAAACAGCATATAATGATTATTAAAAAAAAATATTTTAAATATAAATATAGATATATATGTTACATGAATAATTTTAAACAAATTAACGTCCTGGTAGCCATGGTATATAAGCTACGGTTGTTTGTATTGGATGAATAGGATGTGTTTTTTCATAATCATATCGAAGCATTACAACTGTAATAATTATACCAATCATTAATAGTGTTGTAGTTATATTAAGTATAAGTGTACGTTTTGACCATTTAATAGCCATTGGATATTGATATTGTTTTTTATATTGTTTAACTTTATATGAAAAATAACAACAAACAATTCCAAATGGTATTAATAATAAATTAAATATTGACCATATAATTAATGTTGGAATTTTTTCAATAGATTTTTGTGTTACTATTGATTGATTATCTACTGGATGTGGATTTGTTGGTATTGCAAATGCTAGATCAGCAAGTGAAAGTTTTCCACGATTAGGATTTGTTTGAAATGATACATGTGGAGATTCTAGTAGGTCTTCTGATATTGATGAAGCCATTAGGATGAAATTAATCTCTCTACTATATGATATCGATGTCAATAAACAGCATGAATGCTATTTATGTTTTTTTTTTGCTTTTGTTTAATAATCGCATGAGCGATTTTATACTTATTTAGGCGTCACATACATACAAGTAAGCGATAAATGAGTGCAAATAATACAGAATAAAAAAGAAAAAAGCAAAGAAAAGCAAAAATATACGTATATATATTTGATTATTTAAGTGTAGTGCGTTGTCTATTTTTATTAGTATTGATTGGGATATTTTGACGAGTTCTCCAATCATTCTCAATTCGACAATAAATTCCACCAGGAGATAGAAGTGATGACGATGAACTCGTTTCTTTTAATGAACGATTATGATTTGTTTTATTAATTTGTTGTGATGATTGTATATGACGAAGCATTTCATCGAATCGACGATGTTCATCTTCTCGTTGTGCATCTTGATTCCAACGAGTAGATTTTGTTGCATCCCATGCATTTTTCATATCAGCACCATATGGATGTGAATCAAGAAATGGTGTCCATTGTGAACGTAATGATGCTTTTTTTGCTTCAGGATTTGCAGAACCATATATAGATTGTTCCATAATTTTACTTGTCATTACATTTGTTGAATTTATCGTATTTAATGAAATTTGAAGTGATGGATGATGTTTTATAAGTTCTGTTTTATCTAAATTTTCATAGATTTCAGAAAAATCATTTTGTGTTTGACAAATATGTTCACGTTGTTGACAACCATTATGTCGTGTACTTAATTGAAAAATATCAAATGTACCAATTAATTGTGAACAACAATCATGTTTTTTATCCGTTATTGATGACAGTGGATGATATGAACATGTTGAAAAATCAATAAAACGAAAATAAGCATCACAACGTGCACATTGATCACCATGTATATGTAACCTTAAAAAAAAACAAAAAAAAATTAATTTCTCTCCTATAAATCTTATTAGCTCGCATAAGATGAAGTTGAATCTATTCACATAAAAATCCTGTCAAATAAGTGAAGACGGAAAGACTATGAGTTAACACGCAATGACAAGAATCATCGACAAGATTAAGTCACGCAAGAGAAAAATAACTCGCAATAATTAACTAAATAATAAATGAATATTTACCAAATAATCCAAAATGTATTTCTCCAAGAATTTTCTCCTCGTAGATGAATTTCTTTAATCCAATCATTAATATTAAATTTCGAATCAATTTTATGTTGAAATGAAAAATTTCCATTGGTTTTTATCATTAAACGTTCGGATAAACAAGGTATAAATTCTATTTGTTCAATACTCATTATTGTATGACAATATTGACAACGAATTATTTTTCTATCAGTTAATAATTGTTTTAAACTGTATTCAAATAATTTTCCACGAATTTTATTTTTTCTATCATGTAATTGTTCGATTTTATATGGATTATGAAAATATTTCGCTAATTGACGAAATAATAAATCAGGTATACATGATACATTACAATTTGTAGCGATAATTTCATTTAAATTTTTATAAATATATTCTAATGATTGTCGTACAAGTTTATCCATTTTAAGAAAATCAGATGATATTAATATTGATACAGCTATACGTGGTTCTAATTCAGGTATATCTGTTGATTTAATTCGATTAACAAATGACATTAACCATTGAAATATATCAATATCACAATGAACACTTATATCAACTTCTTCAGCTTGATCAGGTTCATCTTTTAAATAATCAGCAAAATAACGCATTTCACGTATTAATAATGAACGATTACATAAAAATTGACGTTTAGAATTTTTTGATTCATCACAAACAGTTATTGTTATTTGAGATGATTCACTTGTGTCTTTATCAATTAATGTTTCATTATGTTCATCATCTTTTTTCGGTTTTTCATTTTGATCATTCGTTTTATTGTTTGTCAATGATTGTTCATTAGTATTAAGATAAAGTTTTTCTAATGATAAAAGAGCATTTTGCGATTGTGTTATATTCGGTAACGATAATCGTGATAAATCAATTGATTTTGAACGTTCATTTAAATATGCATTTAATAATAAATCGAATAGACACACTTGCATACTAAGTAAAATAAAAATTTCGTCTGAAGTAAAAGAAAAAACAAAAATGTAATCATTATTATTATTCATTCTTTTCTCGTTACTGTTTCATTTCTATCATAAAAAAAAGAAAAAGTCGAAATATACATTAAAGTAAAAAGAAATCAAAATGTTATTGTCTTCGTGATGAAGGTCGAGGCGTTTTTTGAGCAATCGGTGGGAGAGAATCATTGGATGTTGTTGGTACTATAGAATCTTTATAATAATCTGTTTCGAGAAGAATTTGATCAATATAGGACATCATCTGTTCATATGTTACTGATCCATCACTTTCCGGAATAGTTAAATCAACTGAAAATATATACATATATAGAAATAATAATAGAAAAATGTACAAATATTTTACTAGATTTAAAATTTGTTAAATAATTTGATGATGAAGAGTTTGTCAATGATTGAAAAGCAATCATTCGTCGACCAGTTTCAGTATCAAATTCAATACAATCATTGGAATGATTGGATAATTTTAATAGTTCACTTTTTAAATTATGTGATGATGTTTTCAAAAATAAATAACTTTTATAACGATCAATTAAATGTCGATATTTAGCGTTAATTGTATTTGGTGGAATCTAATTTTTAAAATATAAAACTACGACACGATGTTCTCTTTATTAAATATAATACATACATAAGAAATATAAACTAATTTATGAACTATTTCAAGTAGTTGAGTAACTGGATCAGTAGCTCGAAGTCGTGAATTTGATATACTTATTGAACCATTTCCTGATACTGGCCGTGAACGACTATAAGTAGCACTTGATCTAAATTAATCATTACAAATAATCTCCTTATAATAAGATGAATAATAATAACTTAAAGGTACTACTGATTAGAGAGACTCTATATAACTTACTTTCGCTCTGTATTTAGTGAATTTGAAGAATGATAAAGACCTTGTGCTATATTATTACTATCATAACCACTTTCACATGATATATTTGATGATTCTAACGATCGAGTTTGACCAGCTGAACCTAAATATTTCAAAGAATAACACAAAACTATTGTTTATAGTAATCCTACTTCCACGACGTCGAATATTATTTGATACATTATCAATTGTTTCACAATCGGAAGCTAAAAGAAAACCAACAGAATATTATTATTATATTTAATTTCAAATAGTACCAATAGTAATCGATTCTTGTTTACTAATATCATTTTGTCCATCTATTCCCTCAAAAATAACATCAGGTATTCCACTATTACTACTAATTGATGATTCTTTAACACTCGAACAACTTAAACGTGTTGATTGATGATTTAATTGTTGTTTTAAAATATAACGTTCATGTTTACTTTCACGTTCTCTTAAACGTTTTTCTAATGATTTTATTGTCGTACACGAACGATCAGCATAGGACATTAATTGTTCGGTACATAGTTGTGCAATACCACATATATCTCGACGATATAATGGATCAACAATTAAACATTCATGAATTATTTTTTGAATACAATCTGAATAAGATTTCAATGGTACTTTATCATATTCACTTGTGCATATTTTTGTAGCAAGTAGTAGAAGATTTGAAGTATAAAATGGTGGAACCAATACCGCCATATGATAGAGTACACAACCTAAACTCCAGATATCTAATAAAAGAAAACAAATAAAGAAATTAGTTTAAAAATAGACAAGATATTAACCAGCTTTTTCATTATAACTTAAATGTTGAATAATTTCTGGACAAGCATAATACATTGTACCAACAACGGATGTCATTTTACTACAATCATCATTATGTAATTTAGCCAAACCAAAATCAGCTAAAGAATAAAATATGAAATAGTAAGAATTTATTTGGTATTAATCTAACAACAATACATTCTCTATAAATGTTTATTTAACATTTCATTAGGACGTATTGTTGTAATACAAAACAACCTCATTAACGTATGAATTAAAATTCTAATATTTTTCAGATATTTCCGTAATGATATACTTACTAATTTTAACTCTGTATTCATCATCTAACATAATATTATTTGCTGTTAAATCTCGATGAACAATTCCTTTTTGTTTATGTATGTATCTTAATGCAAGTATAAGTTGAATAAAAACTTTCCAGATATTATCTTCGGACATTTTTTGATTTGTATGTTTAATTATTGATAAAAAATTTTGTAGTGAATAACCAACAATTAATTCCATTTTAATATATATATTATCATCTATAAAAAAATAATTTTTTGAACAAAAAAAAGAAGATTATTCAATATTTTTACTTTCAATAAATATTTGATAATAATTAACAATATTTGGATGACGTAATTCTTCACGTATGATATTTACTTCGTTAATCATTTTACCTAAACTACGATCTGTATCATTTCCTAATGAACGTTTATTGATCTAAATAAAAGATAAGTATTTACTGAAATTTGTTTATTAAATCAAACCTCTTTCAATGCATACATCGTTGTTGAACCTCGTTGAGCTACTCGATAAACAGATCCAAATGCTCCTGAACCAAGACATTCATAAACTCCATAATCTCGAATAAATCTTGTTGGATCTTGTTTTGGATTAAATGATTGTAGACGTTCAAGTTTAATTTTAGTTAATTCATCCATATTAATTGAATTCCACGCATGGGTTATTTCTTTATATAGATTTGGATCACGTTGAAAATTTCCAATACCAACAAATAATTCAAATATTGATGCTGGAAATAATCGTTTATATTGATATTGATCATTTCTTTCATTTGATGGAAATAAAAATCGTAATATTTTAAAAACAGTACGCTATTTTCAAAAACAAAAAAGAAACCAATTTGATATCAAGTTTTAATATTCATTTACTTGTAAATGATTGAATGTTTCTAATCGTTGAACATCATCATTGTCAGGAAAAAGAAGCATTGCTAAAATATAAATACCATTACGTTCAATTATTGTTTGACTATTAGTAAAATTATATGAAAGTTCAGCAAGACAATTGCAACAAGCAGATTGCATATCAAATAATTGATCATAATGTGAAGAATTCTAAAGTACTTTATACATTCAATCATATTGGTTTTGGTACGATGGCAAAAGATCGAAAAAATAATATCGAAAAAATAATGTCAAAAAATAAAATCTCGAAAAACCGATATCACAAAAAATAAAATTTTCGAACCTTGAGGGTGAGGGTGTAGCTGTGGATATCCTATTATATTCATACCCATACTCAGATCCAAACCCACTTACACCCGTTCGGAATTTTATTTTTTCGATATTTAATTTTCGAAATTTTTGTTATTCGACATTTAGCGTTTCGATCTTTTGCCAGCAATTCTTGATTTTTTTGTAGTTATATATTTTATAGATAACACAAAAACATACTACTTACATTGTTTACTTCGATATTTCTATGTGAATTTGATCCGGATTGTATTCGATTTGTTTTTGTCGATGGCGATGAAAAATCAAAACGATTTCTAAATAAATATTCATATTGATTGATAAGAATTTGTTTTATAACAAAAATAATTATTTTACCCATTTTCAAGAACTGAAAGTAGTAGAGGAATAGCTCCAGTTAAACGTATTTTTCTTCGATCGTCTTCATTATCAGCACAATTTGTTAAACACCATATAGCATGCTCAAGAACTTTAACATTAGTATAACTTAAATAACTGGTAAATGTATATAAAAAATCATTTGGTATATATGGAATATATTGACGTATTTCAGAATAAGAAAGAAAAGTTGCCATAAGATGTAATGAAAGTCTAATTAAATATATACAAAATTAATATAAAATATAAATATTTAACATACTGTATTGTTTCAAGATCTTTATATTCAAGTAGATGAAATAGATATTCAATTGTTTCTGATTTAAAAAATTCTTCGATATAAAATTCTCTAAAAATATATTAATTGATAAATATTATTGAATGAGAATTTCTTACAATTTATCAGTCATATATAATAATAATGTTAATGTTTCTTGTAATAATGGAGACGTTCGATGATTTAATAGATTTGTAATTGATTGAATAATATGACTTGATATGAAAAACTCTCGTTCAGCATGATTTGGTGTATTCATTAAAAGTTTTTGAAGAATTCCTATAGTTTAAAAATTATATTCTTATTTAGAAAAATAAATATTAATAATTACGAAGTATATCTCCAAGTGCTTTAGATGCCATAGAAGATAATTTATTATTATTATCATTGAAATTTGATGAGAGATAATATGTATACAAATCCATTTGCTAATATAATAGAAAAATATAGATTTAAAAGAGAATTATTTTGTTGTGATAGACATACATTTTTTAAACCAACTAATCCATTTTCTTGAAGAAAAACGATTAGAAATTCTGAATCACGTAATAATATTCTTAAACAATAGAATTCATTTAATGTAGCAAGTTTCTTTGAACTACAAAATATTTTTATCATAAAATAATCAAATAACAATATTACTTACGAACTAAGTAAACTTTTCTTGATAAGAACACGTAAAATCTAAATAGGAAAATAAATATACAAATATATTTTAAAATATTACATACATTTAAGAAGTATTTTTGTTCATTTGAACTTGTAAATTTAGTTTCATTGGCATATTTTGAACTAAATAAAATAAATCAAAAAATATAAAATCAATCCATACAATTCTAACTTGAATTGTTCTAATATTTTCTCTTTGGTTTCTTGATCGTCTATTTTTGCACAATGTTCTAATTCATTAAAAATCTTTTTTACAATCTTGTGCTCTGTTGTACTAAAATATGATTAGATATTAAATAGAATATTAAAATCCTTCTATTAAACTCACTTTAGTTTTATTCGTTCACTAGTTGCCATATGTCTTTTATCAATAAAAATAAAACCAAGAATTTTATATACGTAAAAAAGACAACATCTGTTTATTCAATTCAATGTCAAAAGAAAGTGAATGAATCATTCTGAGGTATGATAATTTTTTCATCGTGTTCTTTTCTTATCAAGAACTCATATAAAATTCCAAGATTTTTTTTTAAAGTTGGCGACTGTTTCTTCCTTTTCTTTGATATTATAAGTTTTCCTCGAAAACTTTTGTTATCTAAACGAAACGAAAGAATTGTAAGAAAAAAAGAAACATGATCTCAATAGTGCTAGGTGTTTATTTACACCTATATTGTTCTGCAATTCTATTCTTTTCTTTTAAATACACCTGAACAATCATCGAAGAGCGACATCTATTTAAAACAAAAGAAAAATAATTTTATATATCCAAATAAATTTAAATTAATATACTCTTTAATTATTTCTTTTTATTTAAATATAATAATTCTTCGGAATTTTTTCGAAAATATGTTTACAAATAGAGAGGTTCATTCTTATCTGTATGGCATATCTAAACAAAGGGCATCGTGCATTGTCTGTCAAAAAAAAAGAGATGTCAAATTTTATTTGTTTCCTTTCTATGATCATTTCAATCTTGATAAGAAAAAAAACATCAAATATATCGATATCGTTATTATTATTATTTCTTTCAGATTTATTCTATGTATTAGTGTGTGTGGTGTGAGTGTGTATCTAACTAGTCATCATTTTTTCTTCCAATAATTATTTATTTTTTATTTATCTATCTATTATTGAGTCTTATTTGTTAATTATTTTCCATGGATCAAGAACGTGCAATGATGATTTTTTTGTCTTATCAAAAATTACGAATGCCAACATTTAGTGTTCGACAACGACGCACTGAAAATCCATTACGTGAACGTTTACTCGTTCGAAAATTTATTGCACAATTAGAAGCATAGTAAGTTAATTGAAATAATCAATAAAATTCATTATTTTTCCTTCTAAATAAAGTTATTTCTATCAACAACAACAACAAATTCAATGGCAATATTATAAAGAACAAGAAACAATGGCTTCCACTAATACTCAAACAAATCAACAAGATGAACAAATTAGTCAGATGGATGTTGATAGAGTAAATGACGAATACCTTTTCTCAAATAATTTTATATATATTTATTTTTCAAGGAAATTGATGAACATAATGAAACTGAAGATGAAACATCAAACATAATTGATTCCTCAGCAAGTGAAGATGAAGATGATTCTGTTTGTTCGATAGTTATGTCAACAAATGATGATAATAATACGACTTCAGATTCACTTGATACATCTAATTTAATGAAAAACTATGCACTTATGCTAGAAGTACCAACAACATTAACGACAACAAATGATAAAGTATAAATCAATCTAATCCATATACAGTATTATCTTTTGTTTTTCTTTTCGATTGAATATGCAATGTGACCATCTCTATTTTTGTTATACAACAAATGTTTGTGTGTCATGTGTTTTTTTTAGTCATCTCTATCTACCAAACGAAAATGTCAGATGCTCTTCTGAACGAATGATTCTCTTCATAAAAATGCTAATTTTTTTTTCTTAATAATCCTATTTTTTTCTCTGCTTCTCGTGTGTATCAGATGTCACACTGATTAGAATTTGTGTGAAACTTTTGCACTGCGAAGTCTGTGCTTCTCATTTCTTTTTTTTTCTTTTTTCGCTGTAATAACTTGTGTTTTTTGTTCTGTTTTTTTTGCTTGTTGTATCTCATAATTCTCTTGGTCGATCTTTATTTCTCTTCTTTTTTTTTTTGATAAGAAAAATAGCAAATTAACATGTTTGTCAAACATGATAGATACGAAGAAAATAAAATAAATTTCCAGAAATAGATTTATTGGATATGAAATCTTTCAAATTTTTTTTATTTAAATATATATATATATTCAATGATCTTTTTCTTCCTTTGTTCTAAGAAGTCAAAGAAAAAAGTCAAGTAGAGAAAAAAAAGAACAAGATTGCCGGATTTTTTCTTTTAACTTTTTTTACCTTTTCTTTCTATTCCGTTGCGACAGAAGTAAGTTCTATTTGCATATTAATTCATAATGTTAAAGATGTTAGACGAAAGAGGAATATTGTTTTCGTTCTGTTGTATTTAACATAACAATACGAGTACAAATTTTACTAACCTGACTATCTTATTTCAAAATATATATATATACAATGGCATCGGGAGCAGTAGTCTCAAGCTCAATTTCATCAACAGCTGCACGTCGACTTCATAATCAATCTCAATTATCGAATCACAGTATTTCTATTGGTGAATCATTAAATTTCACCGACTCATTTTCTTTATCATCATCAACTATCACTCCATTAATAACAATCACCTATTTCAATATATCATTATCACAAGGTATATTATAATAATAGTAAAAAATTCAATCCATCAATATATATATATATGGCCTAGAAGCTGCAAATCCACTACCTATCGTTGTTGCTAGAGTATAGAAAAAATGAGCGGGACATGGAAGCGCACACATTTCTCATGAGACGGAAGACAGGCAAATGAGAAAGAACAAGAGAGTGAGAAAGAAAATGATTTGCGAACAATATAAAACGGAACAATTTTATGTAGTAAGGGTAAGGGAGAACAGAAAGTCCTCATTTTAATTGAGCGACAAAAAGACAAGTGAACTTATTGACAATTAAATATAAAACAAACCATGGAAACATCGAGACGTAATTCATCAGTGAGCTCTATTTCAGCATTACGACAATCAGAGATAATAAGAAAAATACCTATCCCAAGCCCTTGTACTTTCATTCGACTTATACATGGAGGTAAGTGATAAGAAAGTATATTAATAACAAGGAAAAAGAAAAGAAATTCAAATCTCTTATTTTTCTATAAATAGAAAATCAGCAACTAATTCTCAATAGTTATTCTTCTTGTCGTCGTCTAATTGAACACATGAAACAAATTGTTGGTATTCAACAAGATGGTAAATAAATAATTTTTCTTCTTAATAAAAAATAATAGACTTTGTTTTTTATATAAAAAAAGAAACAATTGATCTTATCGATAATGAAGGAAAGTTAAAAGAGCTCGGTACACATTTTGATGATTATGCTTCACAATTTCTTACAGCGAGAAGCACTTATTACGTACTTAAAGTTGAAGGTAAATTAATCAATAATGAACGAAAAAACGATTTTTACAAATAAAATTTCAATTCTAGTCGATAGTACAACTGGTGAAAAACGATATATACCAAATTTTAATATTGATCAATTAGATCAAAAATTGAATACAATATTAACAAGTAACTAATAACTAATTAATTATTATGATTATAAATAATTAAAAATATTTATTTAAGATGCATTGAATACTTTGAATAGATCTGCAAGTAAACCAAAACGGCCTACTGGAACATTACGACAAAATGTTGTGTCCCAATCATTATTCAATACAACACAATCGAAAACAAAACGAACATCAAACAAAAAATAGAATTAGGCAAAATTTGATTATTATTTTTTTCGAATTCATTTACTTTAAGAAATTTTTATTATATTTGTTAATACATTTGTATTGTTTTTCTTTTTGACTTCATGAATATTTTCATAAGCTGATTAAAAAAAAAAAGACTGACAGAAAATATTCTTTAGTATAATATCTAGAGATTCAAACAACCCATATATATGCGATAATAATGTACTTTTATATGTAAGTACAACAAAATTATGTAACGAAATAATATCATTAATCGATAGGGTTAATAGTATTATTACGAACTGTTGCATTTATATATTAGAACTATGTGTAGACTTGTTGTTATGAAATAATCAAGATTTAATCTTTACTACTTCATACTTATCTTTCAAGGTAATAGTTAAACTAATGTATTTACTTAGGTATATGACAATTTAATATCTGATTGCTTAATAAAAACCCTCTCACTATTATATTTTTATTAGAAAATAAAATATATTTGTGAATGGTATATTATTCTTTGGTATAAATTATAAATTAACAACACACAGTATTGGAAATGATATCAGCAATATAATACATTAAAAGAAGATATATGAGTAGATACAAATGTATGTTAATAAAACTGTAACAAAGCAACAAAAAAAATGTAAAGATTACATGAATCAAAAATTATCATACGATAAGAAGCATTTTATACATTTTTCTTCTAATTTTATTTTACGAAATAATAACTACATTTAATCATAAATAAACTGCCTCTAATTTTAACATTCGTTCTCGAATTTCATCAAATGAAATACGGTCCTTGGCGTCGTAATCCCAACAAAGTCGAAGTACTGCATACATATTCTCCGGACACTCATCTGGTTGTGGATGAATTTTTGCATCGCTTTTAACATATTTTGGTATATCTGTGTCATCTTCGATAAGCGGATATGGTTTGCTTGGATTGGGAAGCATCATTTGTATTATTACGATACCAAACGACCAAACATCACTTTTATTCGTAAATTTTGCACAAATATTTTCTGAAGGAATCGTGGTTGGTTCATTCGGTTCTTTTCTTTTTGAACCAGGTAAACATTCTGGTGGAAGAAAACGATATTGAAATTTTTCTCCGTTAGTTGTTGTTGCTCGTTCGAGAGTATTTGTTCCTTCTTCCTTTTTAAATGCATGACCAAAATCAGCAATACGTACATGATTATGTGAATTTATAAGAACATTACCTGCCGTCAAATCTCGATGAACAATATTTTTTTCTCTCAGATATATCATAGCACTAGCAACTTGAAAACCAACATTTGCTATAAATTTCCAGTTGTTTGTGGCTGATAATTGTTTTCGCCGACAACGAGATTCTAATGATTCTCCACCGTTTTCAAATACTAAATAACTATACTCTTTATCGGAATATTGTCCATAACATGTAATGATAAGGGGATAACATAAACCTTTTAACAAAGAAAGTTCTTGATTGAAATGCGATTGTTCTTTTTTGAAACGTTTGATAAATACTTTGATATCATGTTGATCACGACATTTCCAGATTGCTGTAGATATTCCAGAATTATGTTGACCTGGATTAAGTAATCGACCAAAATCAATATCATGAATATGTTTTTGATCTATACGCCACTCTGCATCGTTTGGCGGAACAACCAATTCCTTTTTTAATGGTGTAAATGGCCTAATTTTAGGCGAACATTGCTTTTGCTTATATTTTTTTAATATATCCTCAAGAATATTTGGATCAGTACAACATAATCCATAGTGACGTACATGATTTTTATAGACAGTCTCATCGACACGTACTGATAAGATAAGAGAAGGAGATGTAAAGGTAGAAGGTTCTACCTCTGAATTCCTTTTGTAATCAATCTTTTCAATTATCTCATCATTTGATGTTGAACGTCGTACAATATATGTGCCATTTGGGTGTGGTAGTAAACTACGTATTGCGTCTGATGGAGTGATATCTTGAATATGTGGTAACATGAACAAGAAAACAGATCTGAAATAATAAATAAAAATATTATTGACCTAAAAACTATTGTAAGTTTTACTTTGTTTTCGAAAAACCAAATTATTTATAGGTTAAACAATTATGACTTATATATATATACCGCATTACTTAACATGAGTATAGTTACATTGACACATATTTGAATCTGTCTGCGAAGACGATGATTCATAATGAAAACAGAAACGAAATAAAGAACAGGCAAAAACCAGTTCGTTGTCAATCTGTTTCTCTTCTGCATTATTTCTCAATTTAGACCTCTTTTCATCAGAAAAAAAGATTTTTTAAGTTGGTAATAACTCAGGTTGCTAATATACATTTCATAAAACGAGGAAGTTGCATCAGATAAATGAAATTTGTGACTCAATTGTGTCTTTTCTACATAATATTAAATTCATCGTTAACAGATCAATAACTGAAAGTAAATATTTGAATATAGTATTGAGGTTATAAAACTACAGGACTTATTCGATGTGATACAATCAAAGTACTTCAAAATTATATGCAAATTACTTGGAATTTTCAACAATGTTCAGGTATTTTCTGTTGTTTCTCTACACTAGGAACAGTAAATTAAAAAAAGCATATATAATATTTTTGTAACTCTAATTGTAATTCGTATAATTTCAAAATATATCATTAAGACATCCGAAAACAAAATTATTAAAGTGTAAATCTCATAATCAAATAATTCATCAATAGTAAGTTATTATCTGATTGATTCTATGATATTCAGTTAAATCTATATTAAAATAGTACATCTATTTAATTCCATACATTCTTATCTTCTTCTAATATATATTTATTTATTTTGTCCTATTGATCTATATAATATTTCGTTTACTACAGTAAATATTTAATAGAAAATGATACATGTATTATTTATAACAAATATTGTTAAATATAGAGAAGAAATATTTTATAGATTTTTGTGAAAACTAGGGTGTGGGTGTGAATATATATTACCTACCTGACACCCACCCTATAAAATCAATACGAATCTGATATACATTACTTTGGAATGAATTTATTCTTACCTCCATATCACATGTTCAATCTTATTTATATATTTATTTATCGATATATTACATCTACCACCTATTGTAAGGTTTCCTACCAGACATTGATCCAGGGAAATAATCTTGTATAAATACGATATAATATGAAATAAATGTTACGATCATTACATATCACAAAAGAATATTAAACTTTGTTTTCATATAATTAAATCGACGTAATAAGCCATGATATCCATCTAATAATCCAAATATTTGATTATTTCTTACGATGCATTCAGATAAAATGATATTGCTTTGAAAAGAATCTGTACGATATCATGTAACAATTAAATCAGATTCTATTGATTTTTCTAAAAAGAAAATAACTTCATATCACAATGTAATGTAAAAAAATATAAACTACCAATTAATGTATTGTAATAAAAAAAAATAAGTACAATTTTAATTACGATAGTACTGTTATCTACTGTATCATGTTCTAAATAAAGTCAAAATTGTAAGATTTATTTTATTATATCAGGTTGACAGTTATTATATATCAAAGTAACTTACAATTTTTGTACTCAACTATAGTCAAGGTATTGTTTCGAGAAAAATATGTGCACATTTTTTAAATGTCTTTTAACAAAATAAATAATTCAACATTTTTTGTTTGTATTGATTGTCATAATACAATGGTAGTCATATAAAAGAAATAGAACATAACATTACTGTGTATTATTTTTATCATTTATAATTGAATTAATGATTTGTATAGGTCATTATAATTACTAACATAGATAATAAACGTACTTGAATAATATATAATAGAAAATATTCTAATAATTTCTACTATTTTTGTTTTCAACCATTTGAATTTTTTCTTCAACAATGCTTGTCGGTTTTTTTAATGTCACACACAAACCAGGTTTTTTTTGCGTTCTTTTTCTTACAATTTATGTCTATGAGAAATACTTTTTCTTATCGTTTTTCTTTTATAATTTCCTTTCTTTTTTTTCTTGTTTTAAGAACGAGCAAAAGTAAAGAATAAATTAAAAAAGAAAAAGAACATCATGATTCATACATAGCAATACTTTAACACGTATATATCATCGTATTAAAATCAATCTCATATAAGACTATTACGCCATAAATATTCATCGTATTAGAATAAATGAAATTAATTTTTGAAAATTGTTTCATAAATCAATTAATTATTTTTGAACGTGTAGTAACAGAATAATATTTAAAACAATTATTATTAATTGATGCTACTATTTTTACTTTTTTTCGATTTAATACTTTTTCAATCACGTATCTCAAAAACTAAGCTTTTTATAATTACATATTGTATAACGTAAGATTAAAAAAACGGTGCTCTACGAAGACGCTGCACCATGACATGCTCTTTCGAGCAAAAAAATTAAATATATATGGAGTAAGTCTAGACAGTTATTTTTTACCATTGTTTGATGAATATTTCTGTCAACCTTGTGTCATCTAGCTAAAAACTCTACCATAGTTTCTGCACTATAGATCGAATACATCTTAAGAATCTCAAGCCATTTGAATGTATTTAGATTGAGACTGATCTTTATGATTAGCGTCTGTTTGCTAATTTGTTTTTTACTTTATCTAAATTAAATTAGTATTACAAACATTCTAAAAGTGGATCCGAAGTAAGATGAATTATTGTTTGTAGAGCTATTACCTCATTAAAATAATTTGATTGAAAAAGGTACAGTAATATTATATACAGATTTTTTGATAAGCATTCGACAGATTGGCGGAAATTGAAGATAAATATGTTGAAAATGAGAAATTAATTTTTGACAAATTTCTTGTGTCGTTTAAATCAATTGTCACATGTTGCAGAAATTCTTTTCTTTTGATTCTTACAATAACAAAATCATGCTGGCCATTTATATTTATTTTTCTGCACTGAAATCTTATTCATCTTCTTGCTAATAAACCAAGAAAAAAAACTTGTTTGAAATTAAATTTTTTTTCTTCAATTACAATATATAGACCGTTAATAATACTTCACAATATTGCCAATTACATTGGATCAACACACCAATATATTTGATCATAAGCTCGTATGAAAATTTTGTTTCCTTTATTAATATTCTGAAACTAACTTTTTCTTATTGTTGTGGTTACCATTAGTATATTAAGTTTTTCGTTTAAATGTTAATCTAGTCCACATTCTCTCCTATGATTGAATGAAGATATGAATGAAAATAGTAGGATGTTCATTTTGTTAGACTATAAAATATTTGTCATTCGAAGAATCAACTATCAACTAGAGACGAACATATTTGAGTCAGAAGATATATATATTTACATCAATGAGATATCTTTATTAAATTTTATGTTACGCGTTATAATGCATTTAAAATGTTACTATATTAATACTTTGTATTCCGTCAGAATGATATTTTAACGTCGTGATATTATTTTTATTTGTATTGCATTGTCGTAGTTAAGAGACACAGTAATATTTTTTTATTGGCAATAAAAAATAACAATAATAGTTGAATTGTAAAGAAATATTCTGAATCAGGTTAAATAAATACTTTTTCCAAACATATGAGATTCAGAGTATATCATTAAATTTAGTATAAATGAAATAATTTAACATACGCTAATGATTAAACAATTACGAATAATATTTAAGTATTTAATTTTCTATTATTATATTAAATAGATTACATACAACATTTACGTGGTTACATAATATTGTTCGATAATAAGAATGATTAATCAATATAAAACTCAAATCATAATCTTTCTTATTGCTTTATCACTTGTTATACACTCATTACTTATGAAAAGATCAGAAATTACAACAACTCATTCATCACAAATATTAATCATGAATCCTTATGTATATGCACACAATCTCTCTATTAATGGTCAAATTGATCCACCCTGCTATAGAACTCAAAATATCTATGTATGTTCTGGTTATTGTCCTTGGAATAATACACATAATAATGAACTGGTTTCATGTTCGTTTCTTCCTCGTACTCCTAATGCTGATTTTGTAAAATATAATATTTATTGTACTCCTGAACCTGATCATTGCGCAACATATAATGCATGGCTCAAAGATAGTCTACCACCAGCAGAACAATTTATCCAACGTATTCCTGATGAACTTCTCTCTAATTTTACACTGAACTATTCTATATCTGTTCAGTATGGTCTTGGTGAGTTTCGTAAAGAGAATACTGGGTTTATTAAGTGAGCTATTCAGGAAATAGAAAAATATCGAAGTCAGCTGCGACAAAGAGTAAAGTATGGATCATACACTAATAAAGATATATATCCTGCTCTTGATAAATATTCTTCATTAGCTGTCACAAATAAGAAATGTGCCGTTATTGGAAGTGAAGATCCATGGATCGAAGCTGCATCATTGGAATACAATGCATCAAATGTAACAACTATTGAATATGGAACAATTCATTCAGATATATCTCGTCTGACAACTTGTCACAAGTTGTAAAGTCCTGCAAACCGGACGGGTACCCGACACCCGGCCCGACCCGGACCTGGGTAACGGGTAAAATTCGCCGGGTCGGTTCGGGCATCGGGCGTAAAAAAAAAATTCGGTTCGGGTCCCGGGTAGGAGTGTATACCCGACCCGAACCGACAACTAGTGATATCACCAAATTTGTAACATTTTATTCTGATACTATTACTAATATGAAAAACGAAGTCACAATAAATCTAATAATGATTAAACGACCCATTAGTCATTAAAATATTTCATAAAGAAAAGTTTAGTTTCTTTGAATAGCTTTTGTTATGTTTCGGATAAAAAGCTTTTGTTGTTTTGTTAATTAACATCTTACAATACGAAAGGTGGATGTGGGTGTGGGCTTGTGTGTATGTGTGGATGTGAGGTAAGAGCAAGATCCACATCTTCAGCTAACTCCTGATTCACTTGTTTTTTTATGTAATTTCACATAATATATATTTTTATTTGTTACTTATGAATAGGGGTAGGACAGTTCCACATTATTTACGTTCTTAGGAACTGTATAATAGTTCTTTTGACCAGTTCATCTGAACTTGGAACTGTGAACTGTCCTACCCTTACTTATGAACGAAAATAAACGTATTATATTTATTGAATGAAATAAAAGTTTAGAAATTTGATCATATTTTGAAAAATAACTGAGTACACCGGTTCGGGTCGGTTCGGGTCCGGGCCAGCTTATTCGGTCCGGTTCGGTTTCGGGTGGTTAACTAGCCGGGTCGGTTCGGGCCCGGGCGTAAAAAAAATCGCCGGTTCGGTTTCGGGTACAAAAAAGTGCACCCGTGCAGGACTCTAGTCACTGACAACTATCACACCTATGGATTTTGCAAGAAAACAAGCAAATAGACAAGAATTATTTGATAGTGTTTGGTCATACAGTAGTCTTGAACATGATGGTCTTGGTCGATATCGAGATCCATTGAATGCATATGGTGATCTTCAAACAATGACAAAAATAACATGTATTCTGAAACCTGGTGGATTTTTTTTCTCGGTTTACCAATCAATATTGAAGATAGTATACATTTCAATTTACATCGTGTGTATGGACCAATACGTTTACCATTAATCTATCGATATTATCATGTTGTTGAAGTATTAGGTACAGAAATGTCAAAAATTCCGGATGACTGGGATGTTCAACCGTTTGTTGTTTTACAAAATAAAGTTGGATGTAAGAAATCATAATCAGATATAGCACTACTGAAAATAGAACACTAATTGTCTTCAATATTATTTCTACAATCCAAATCATTGAAGTTCCTTTTATTATAAATTTTTTGTGAATTGAATTTTTGTATTGTATATGTATATAAAATATAATACTATGAGTATATATGCCAACATACGTATGTGTTATATTTATTGATACAGATAAAAATTACTTTTTATTATTCGTATTTTATTTTCACCTAACATATATATCACATAGTAGCGTGAAAAATAAGACTTTATAATGTTGATTTGAATTATCTCTGATAATTATATTGTATTTCAGTTATTTGAATATCATTGACTTATTATTCCATTAAAATATAACTGTGTCGAGATCAGATCGTTGATAAATCTTATGGAGTAGGATGTAGGCAAATATGAAAAGAAACACATTTGTTTTATTCTGTACATAATATGACAAAAAACAAATTTTATTTAATTTATTATACAGAAAAGAAAATACTCATTTGAATATATGAATAGTACGATACAAAAAAATTAAATTTTCTGAATGAAGACTAAGTACTTTAATCGAACGGATTGAAATTCTATTTTCCAGTCTATCTAAATGAATCATAAATATGTTAAACATTAAATAGATCCCATTTTTCGTTGAATTTAATACTGCTTACATACGATATTATAATTAAATCAAAATTCTTGTCCTTATGCTGTATCGATATAAGATAAATCGAATCTGTTTTTACAAAAACATCCTACCTACACAGATAATTATCTTTTGTTGCGTGCGCATTTCATGACAAAATCATATATTATTTTTTGTTTTGCTTTCCTTCTCATACCCTCACATTACTCTTTCGTTATCATTTGATTATCATTATTTCTATCATATTTAATTATTCTCAGTACAGATGTGACGAACGGCAATCATTACTTTTTAATTTGAATGACGGATAGGATTCATGCCTATCGAAATATACGACTAAATACATGCAAGGTAAAGCAGTGCTTTCGTTAAAATATAATATAGATTGGCAAAAAAGGTAAATAACGAACGACGAGCGTGATTCTTTTTTCATTTGAATAAGGTATCTAACGCATGGTGGTTATTAAACATATTTTTTTCTATACGAAATTTTGAGTGCTGGTAAAAAGATTATCTATATGCAAAGTAGCATGTAAAAAAAGCAATTAACGCTATTCAAAAGAATGGTAGTGTCATTTTTTTATATATTTAATACAGTTTTTTTTGTTAATGGACTTATGGAGGTTATATTACTTTTTACTCAATAATTGGTAATAATTTTTATTACTTGTTACTTTTCACTAGTGATCTCTCTAATTTTATTGTTTTATCGATACTAGAGCTCCCATTCTTTCTGTATAGTGCAGTTTCGATTCATCTTGTATTAAATGATTACTAATTAATTTTATTATTTTTAAATTATTTATTACCAACAATAAAGTAATCTATTGAGGGTGTGGATTAAATAGAATATCCACACTTACTAGTGTTGACATGGTTTATTCTTTTATTCTATATCCATAATGATTTACTGTTTCTATTATAGATTAAAATGACTTCGATGAATGCTAATGTTCTGCCACCAGAGCGTTCATTCCGTGAAGTATCTTCTGCTGTCAATCCAGAGAATCATTCGAACGCGATTCCAGCTCGACGTCGTCAAAATGATGCGGATGATCCGACCGTTCATTTGAAAAAGACGAGGTATGTTTCATTGATTTCATTTCAATTATGTTACTCAATTGTCTTCTTTAGATTAATCTGTCTCGTATCTATATTATCTTCAAGGAATGGAGTCCGAATATTTGCTATGTTCACAGTGATCAGCATGGTCATTGCAATTTTAATAGTTTATTTCAGGTCACCCAAACCACTAGGTAGACTTTTATTAATAACATAATTTTAATATCGAAGGAATTGAAATCTTATCATAAATTTTAAATAACAATAAGAGTTAAAACATGATAACGAGACAAGATCCCTGCGTTTCTATCATAATCGTACAGCATACTTTATGTACGCGAATTTTCTACCTCGGATGACCTTCGGCTCCATCGTATGCTACCTTAAATGTCAATGAAAGAGAGAGAATGAGATACGTAGATTAAATTAACAAAACTCTCGAATCTATACAAATCTTTCCTGATCGTCTGAAAAAAAAATTTATTCTCGAATGAAAGAGTCTTGATCAATTTCAACAGAACATGAGTGAAATGATCAAGAACTTTCTCTATATCTAACTTACAAAATAATTGAACTTCATATCTTTTATATTGTTTAGGTAGAACATGTGAATTCATTCTAAAATCAGAAGCCTACAGTTCTATTAGAGATGATTCTCTTCCGCATTCTATCGCCGTCGCTGATCTCAATAACGATGGTCTTCTCGATATTGTCGTTCCAAATTCGGGCGCAAATAATATAGGAGTATTTCTACGGAACAGTAATAATACATTCAAAGCTCAAACGGTATATTCAACTGGTCTTCGTTCAATTCCTTATGCGGTAGCTGTTTCTGATTTTAATAATGATCAACGAATCGACATAGCTGTAGCGAATTTTGGCAATAATAACGTGGGTATCTTTCTCGGAACAGACAATGGTACTTTCAGATCGCAAACAATATTTTCTACTGGATCATCTCGTCCACGATGCCTTGCTACCGGTGATTTCAATAAAGATGGAATAATTGATATAGTGGTTGTCAATTATGGCACTAACGACATTGGTATCCTTCTCGGAGATGGAAGAGGAAATTTTATCAAATGGACAACTTTTCCCACCGGTTTTGATTCTATTCCGTATTCACTTGCTATTGCTGATGTTAATCATGATAATGAACTTGATATTGTCGTGGCTAATTATGGTACTAACAACGTGGGTGTTTTACTGGGTCTTGGAAATGGATCATTCATGAGCCAGACTACCTTTTATATTGCCTATAATTCTGCTCCATATTCAGTTACTGTTCACGATTTAAACAACGATACTCACATAGACATCATTGTCGGATGTTCCAACACCAATTATGTTGCTGTTCTATTGGGTTTCGGGAACGGACTTTTCTCATTACCGACAAAATATTCAACCGGAAACAATTCTTCACCCCGATCGATAACCATCGGCGACTTTGACAAAGACAATAAAGTTGACATCGCTGTGGCCAACTATGGCACTGCGAGTGTGGGTATATTTTTCGGATATGGAAACGGTACCTATTCACATCAAGTGACATTTTATACGAGCTATGATTCTCTTCCATACGCGATTGTGAGTGGTGATATCAATAATGACACTCGATTAGATATAGCTGTAGTCAATTATGACTATAACTATGTTGATATTGTTCTTACATATAGAAACTATAGTTTTTCAGACCAAATTACGTATCCAACAATTGATGTTGATTCTCAACCGATTTCTATCGCTGTTGCTGATTTCAACAATGATAATCGACCGGATTTTGTGGTCGTCAATAATAACGCAGATAATATAAATGTATTTCTCAATGATGGTAATAATACATTTTTGAACCAAACTACATATTTAACTGATTCTCAACCGTTATCAGTTGCCGTCGGTGATTTTAATAACGATACTCACCCGGATATTGTCGTTATCAGTGTTGAAAGTGGTACGATTGGTATATTTTTTGGATTTGGCAATGGGATATTTTCAAATCAGACAATCCTTTTAAATGATGATAGTTCTCAACCATATACCGTTGCTGTTGGTGATTTGAACAACGATAGTCAACTTGATATTGTCGTCGCCAATAAACTGAGTGACAATATAAGTATATTTTTTGGTTATGGAAATGGTAGTTTTTCAGATGCACAAACATATTCAACTAATAGCGGATCCAGGCCAGTATGGGTCGGCATTGCTGATTTTAACAATGACAATCGATCAGATATCGTCGTCATCAACGGAGTCAGTGGTGACGTGGGTCTATTTCTTGGTTACGATGATGATACCTTTTCGTATCAAATCGTATTTTCGGTTGGTACTGGTGCTGGACCAAATGGCGGTGCCATTGGTGATCTAAATGCTGATGGTCGAATGGATATCGTTGTCAACATTTATTATAATCGTGCTTTTCAGATTCTTCTTGGCTTTGGGAATGGAACGTTTGTCAGTAAAACTATATATTCGGTTGGTAGTCTTTCTCGACCATCTTGGTGCACTATTGCTGATTGGAACAATGATCAACGATTAGACATCATCGTTAGTAGTTGTGATACGAACAATATACATATGTTTGTTGGATATGGTGATGGAACGTTCCTCAGTGAGCAAGCTTATTCAACTGGTGACGGTTCTTGTCCATTAGCGAGTGGCTCGGGTGATTTGAATAACGACGGATTATTGGATGTCGTTGTCGTTAATTCCAGAACGAATACAGTAGGTGTTTTTCTCGAATTTACTTATATGAATGGCATTCGTGAAGCGACATATGCAACTGGATCTGCTTCTCATCCACGAGCGATTGGCCTTGGTCATTTTATTAATGATGTTCAATTAGATGTCGTGATGGCTAATTACGGATTGGGAAATGTAGGATTCCTTGAAGGACATACAAATGGAACTTTTCCAATACAGACAATGTTTTCGACTGGTGTCTTATCTTTTCCGACTTCGATTGCCATTGATGATTTAAATAATGACAATAAACTAGATATTGTTGTCGCTAATCCTTCAATTGGTAATCTAAGCATTTTTTATGGATATGAAAATGGAAGTTTTGCAAGTCAAAAAACCTATTCAGTTCAACCCGGTTCTTTTCCACAATCAGTAATCTGTGGTGATTTCAATAATGATAAGAAACGTGACATTGCTGTCGTTTATTCTGGCAGTAATAGTGTATCAACACTTTTGAGATATGATACTGTAGTGTTGAAAAAGCAAGCAGAATATTTTACTGGTACCAGTTCCTATCCGCATGCAGTATCAGTAGGCGATTTCAACAATGATGGTTGGTCAGACTTCGTGACTGTTAACCGAGGTAGTCAAAGTATCAGTATTTTTCTGGGATTAGGCAATGCCACGTTCTCTGGTCCAACAACCCATGCAGCTGGTACAGGATCGCCATCCTATGGAATCGTTGTTGGTCATGTCAACAATGATACCTACCTAGATATCGTTGTTAGTCATTACTGGAGAAACGCTGTAAGTATTTTTCTCGGTTTTGGTAACGGAACATTTTCGAGCCCAACAAATTATTCAACTGGTGATCCGTGTTATCCAATAGGTGTTGGCACTGGCGATCTCAACAATGATGGTCAACTGGATGTTGTCGTTGCTTGTGATAAAATTGGTGGAATAAGTATCCTCCTGGGATACGGCAATGGTACTTTCGGCAGTGCAGATGTCCATCCTATTAACCCTGGTGTTAGTGGTGCAAGATACGTTGCAATTGCCGATTTTAATAATGACAATAATTTAGATATTGTTCTGACCAATGCTGGGACTTCCAGTATACATATTTTTCAAGGGTATGGTAATGGGATTTTTTTCCTAGCATACAACTATACAACCGGCGTTAGGTCAAGTCCACGACCAGTCGCCGTCTCAGACTTGGATAAAGATGGTCAAATGGACATCATTGTTGGCAATTCGGGCTCAGATAATATTTGTGTGTTTTTTGGATACGGCGATGGTTCTTTTTCTGTTCCTACATTCCATCCAATTGAAAATGGTTCTCTCTCATATGGACTTGTCATTAATGATTTTAATAACGATGGTCAACTGGATATCGCCGTTGCTAATTATGGAAGCAATAATTTAGCCATTCTTCTTAAACTGGTTAATCGTACGTTTTTCAATCCATTGACATACTCTACTGGTGATTATTCTCAACCATCTTTTCTCGCTGTTGCTGATTTCAATAACGACAGTCATTTGGATATTGTCGTTCCCGATTCGGGTATTAACAGTGTCAGCATATTTCTTGGAAACATAAATGAAGATTTTTTAATTGCACCAGATTATCCCGTTGAATTGTCTTCGCAACTGACGTCAATCGGCGTGGGAGATTTTGATAATGACACTCAGTTGGATATCGTCGTTGCTGATAATGCTACGAACAATATTATGATCATATTTGGATCTGGTTACGGTACTTTTACGAGACAAAACAGCTATTCAACTGGCAATAATTCGCATCCATGTTCGGTTGCTGTTGGTGATTTTAATAAGGACAATCAACTGGATATTGTCGTAGCAAATTCGGGCGCTAACAATATCGGGGTTTTTCTTGCCAATAGCAGTGGAACATTTCTAAGTCAAATGGTTTATTTGACTGGCTCTCATTCTCAACCATATTCCGTTGCTGTTCTAGATTTCGACAACGATACACAATTGGATATTGCTGTAGCCAACTATGGTAGTAGCAGTGTCGGTGTTTTTCTGGGTCATGGCAATGGACACTTTTCGGATCAAATGATATTTTACACTGGTTTTAATTCACATCCTTTTGGACTTGCTGTCGGTGATGTTAACAATGATAATTTCACCGATATTGTTGCCAGTAATAATGGATATGGCAATATAGATATTCTCATGAAGATCTGTTAGTATATGGTGTTCGTGATTTAAAATTGTTTTCGTTATTAACTCGATTGGACGGTATACAGTTTACGTGCTTCGTATTGCTTTTTCTGAACTATAACGTAATTGACTTCTTTGTATGATGAACTTTCGTAAGATATCATACAGATATGCTTCTTTAAAATACGACTTATCATTTTATAATTGAATATTTAACAGTATCTCGTAATGGCTTTAAGGAGTACACTTGAACCATATTGGGTGTGGGTGTGAAATAAAAAAAGATATAACACTTACATTGACAAAATATGAACAGTGAAGTATGTAAGCACAGAGTAGAAGTGAAAACATGAAGTTGATTTAAAAGAAAAAACCCAATGAGCAATAATTATTTCAATTTAGTTTTCTTTTCTTTTATATACGTTCTAGTTCATATAAATGAATTAAAATAACAACAGTATGTATTTTTTGTTTTTCAATAAGATTAATTATTTCAGTTTTATTTTATTGTCTGATTGCAAAAGAACAGAATCTAGATATTTTTGCATTTCCGGATCAAAATTACTTGTTATTGATATATATCATATGAAACTTTTAAAATTGTATATACATCTATGAAATAGAATATTTTTATATATGAAACAAAGTGCTTATAAAACAAACTTTAGGTAATGTTATAATAAAATCATGAATATTGGCTATTTGAGCAACTTTTTCTATTTCATCTTGAGATACTTCTCGGCTATTATCACCATAAGCTATATTATCACGTATTGAAATATCGAATAGAACTGGTTCTTGTTGAACAAGACCCATCAGTGAACGAAACCATTGAATGTTAAGTGTACGAATATCATAACCATCCAAAAGAATTTGACCTTCTAATGGATCATAGAATCGTTGTAATAAATCAATTACTGTTGATTTTCCACTTCCTGAAGGACCAACCAGAGCTGTAGAACTATTATTTATACATGTTAATGAAAAATTCTTAAGTGTTTGAACATTTCGTCTTGATGGATATCGAAAATAGACATTTTGAAATTCGATTTGACCTGTGATCTTGTCCTACAAATTATTTCAATATGTATATATCGTTATATATAAAGAGAGAGAGAGAGAGATTTTTTACTAGAATAATGCCTGAATCATCATGAGGATCAATTTGAGATGTACGTTTGATTAATTTTAGAATTCGTATTGCAGCATGTCTCGCTTTAGAATAAGCTAAATTTTTCCCTGTTGCTTGACCAGTACTCATTATTGCACTCAGGATAACTGCATAGACTCTTAAAATATTTCAAATATGATTTTAAAATCCAAATTTTTCTTTCTAAATTTCATACCTAAATACATTTTGAAAAGTCATTTCGCCTTTTTGAACAAGCGTACTACCATACGAATAATTAACAGCAATGAGAAAGAAGTTCAAAGAATTAGCAATAGCTGCACCCAATGCTATTATAAATAGACGACACATATTTTTTCTAAATAAATATTTAATTATTTAGATGTAATACGAAAATCAATAATTTTATACTTGAATTCTTGATCAAAAAATTGTTCATAAATGTTGATAAAATGATTTTCTTGATGGAGAGCGACTACAGTTCGAATATGTTTTATTGCTTCAGAAGCACACTAAATAGAATATATAAAGATGAAGTCAATATAAATATAGTAGTTTTTCTTTATGTCTATTTACCTTTCCACCCTGTTCAGAATATGAATCTTTATCTTGTGTTTTACTTATATTGCCTTGTCTTTGTCCTTGTAATTTGCTTGAGAAGTACAGTACGGGTGTGAAAGATGAAAGAACTAAAGTCAATTTCCAACTCGAAATAAATCCTATAATAAAGCACGCTACTAAAGCACTGAATCCTTGCATAAGAATACCAATACGAATTCCTGTTAATCCCTATAATATTCATTACCAATTAATTATAGAACGAAGATCTCTACTATACTATTTGAACATACCTTAATAGCTGCTGCGTCTGATGCCAGACGTGTACTTAGAATATTAATAGAATTTTCTTTCATTTCATAATAACCTATTTCTTGTCGAAGTAAAGATGAAAATGTTAATCTACGCATGCGTGCTGTAAGTTCTTCACCAGATTTTCCAAGTGCAGAATTTAGAATAAATTGACAAAGTGCACCAACAACACCTACAAGGAAAATGCCAATCGTAAACGTGTTCATTAATTGTTTCTGTTTATCTTCATTTGATTCACCGAATGTACCATAAATTCCCGAATATAAATATGCAAATCCTGGTTCAATAAGACCGAAAATAAGGGATGCTATACTACCAATTAAGATCCAATGCCATTCTGGTATGTTAAACTTTAATATTCGAAATATAAACAATGAAAAAAACTGTTTTTTTTCTTTTTCTTCTATAAAATCATCGAACGATGATGTTGTAGTGCTATCAATTTCTTTCTCTTCGATAGAGTCGTTCAATTCTCTGATCTTTTTACGAATAGCTAAAATAATATATAAACATATATCAAAACTATATGAAATAACTCACTGAATAATCTTTGAGTGTATGATTGTTTAATTTTAGCTTCTTCTTTCGTATCTGTTTCAGATGATGATTCATATCGTTCATCTGCACCTTGTTCATTTACTTGTTCATAATAAAGTCCTTTGCTTTCCATTAGTTCATCATGTGTTCCATGCTCAACTATTTGTCCATTATTCAATCCAATAATTATGTCTGCGTTTCGAATAGTACTTAGACGATGTGCAACTACAATTGTTGTTCGATTTTGTTTTGCATTATCTAATGCATCCTGTACAATTCGTTCACTTGTATAATCTAT